ACGGCGTCTCGTCGTCCGTTGCGGATAGCGGCGTAGCGCAGCGCCGAGGCGGAGGCGACCCGTCGCTGTCGATAGAGGAACAAAGGGTGCTGGACAAGGTCGGCGAGGCGCTGGCCAGGCTGTGTCGTAACAAGCGCGTCGGTCTGACGCTGCGGGACAAGGAAGCCTTTATTGAGGCCTGGAACGGCCGAAAGTAGCCGTGGACGCAACGCAAGAGTAGCAGTACAAGGAGCTGGACAATGTGGACAACGTTTGGTGGCAATTGTGCTTTTTGCGTCTGGCGGATGTTTGCATAGCTTGGAGCTGGGGGCCTTAATGCGCCATGTTTCGAAATCGTCGCCTGGCAACCGAAAAGCAGCATGAGCGGCCTCTACTTTTTAACGGAAGCCGCTGTGTAATTCAGTGTATGTACGCTTTACGTGTGTTTGGAGCCTCATATACCACGGTTCGAATTTTATGTTTAAAGCAGAATCATTTCTACAAGCACGGGCTGAACTGTCTATACAATAACGGGAGTCCCATTTAACGCAAACAAAACTCCGATTTTTGGACTACCTTTTTTTCCGAAGCCGTACAAGAAGATGGTATAACAGTGTTGAACTCTAGAGAAAACATCGCCCCCCCCCCTGCCTCGTATCTTTCCCCCTTTGGAGGAGTATCCAAGAAAAAACAAGACCTTAGATCTTGCCGTCCGTCACGCATCCCGAGCTGGCGTCGCTGACGAGGGCCGAGTACTTCTTCAGGGTACCCTTGCTGTACTTGAGGGGCGGCGCCTTCCACTCGGCTTTCCGTCTCGCCATCTCCTCGTCCGAGACGTTGGTGTCGATGACTCTCTTCTCCGCGTCAATGGTGATGACGTCGCCGTCCTGCACCAGACCAATGGGGCCGCCCTCCATGGCCTCGGGCACGATGTGGCCGATCAGGAAGCCGTGGCTACCGCCGGAGAAGCGGCCGTCCGTCAGCAGCGCAACGTCCTTGCCGAGACCAGCGCCCATGATGGCGGAGCTGGGCTTCAGCATCTCGGGCATGCCGGGGCCGCCCTTGGGGCCCTCGTAGCGGATGATGACGACCGTCTTCTCGCCCTTCTTGATCTCGTCGCGCTCGAGCGCCGCGATGAAGGCGTCCTCCTCGTCGAACACGCGCGCCTTGCCCTCGAAGCGCAGGCCCTCCTTGCCCGTGATCTTGCCGACAGAGCCGCCGGGCGCGAGCTGGCCGCGCAGGATCTGGATGTGGCCCGAGGGCTTGATGGGGTTGCTGAAGGGGCGGATGATCTCCTGATCGGCGGGGAAAGCGGGCATGTTCTCGACGTTCTCCTTCATCGTCTTGCCGGTGACGGTGATACCGGAGCCGTCAATCAGGCCCTCCTTGAGGAGGAACTTGAGCAGGCCGGGGGTGCCGCCGATGCGGTGCATGTCGGCCATGACGTACTTTCCGGAGGGCTTCAGGTCAGCCAGGAAGGGGGTGCGGTCGGAGACGGCCTGGAAGTCGTCAACGGTGAGCTTGATGCCGACAGAGTCGGCAATGGCCAGGAGATGGAGCACGGCGTTGGTGCTGCCTCCCAGGATGTTGACGACGATCATGGCGTTCTCAAAGGCCTGGCGCGTCATGATGTCGCGCGGGCGGATGTCCTCCTTGAGGATGTTCTTGATGGCGGCACCAATGCCCTCGCACTCGGCCTTCTTGCTCGCGTCCTCGGCGGGGCTGCTGCTGCTGCCGGGCATGGTCAGGCCGAGCGTCTCGATGGCGGTGGCCATGGTGTTGGCCGTGTACATGCCTCCGCAGGCACCGCTGCCGGGGCAGGCGTTGCGGATGATGTCGAAGCGCTCCTCCTCGGTGATCTCGCCGGTGATGTACTGGCCGTAGGCCTGGAAGGCGGAGACGATGTCGATGGACTCGCCGCTCTTGCTGCAGCCGGGCTGGATGGTGCCACCGTAGACCATGATGCTGGGGCGGTTGACGCGGCCCATGGCGATGGCGACACCGGGCATGTTCTTGTCGCAGCCGGGCAGGGAGACGTTTGCGTCGTACCACTGGCCGTTCATGACGGTCTCGATGGAGTCGGCAATAATCTCACGCGACTGCAGCGAGTAGCGCATGCCCTTTGTGCCCATGCTGATACCGTCCGAGACGCCGATGGTGTTGAACTGGTAAGGGATCAGGCCGGCGTCCTTGACCGACTTGCGGACGATGTTGGACAGGTCGAGCAGGTGCATGTTGCAGGGGTTGCCCTCGTACCAAACGGACGAGATGCCGACCTGGGCCTTGTTCATGTCCTCCTCGGTGAGGCCGGTGGCGTAGAGCATAGCCTGGGAGGCACCCTGGGACTTGGGCTGCGTGATGTTGGCCGAGACCTTGTTCAACTGGTCGTTGGCGCGTCGGGGCACGGTGGAGGAGAGGAGGCGGCTGCGCGCGGGTTAGCCATTGCGTCCCTTGTGATGTGTCTGCAGAGGTCAATTGGGATGGAGGGAGGTCGTACGCATGGCCGGCAAAGGCAGGACGCCTCGTCGCAGCTCGGAGAGCTTGTGACTGGCGGGAGATGGACCGGGAGAGCATTGCGTCAAGGGTTCACCGGGAAGCCCCAAGAACGGGATGGTCGGTTAGAATGCGGAGGTTGTGAGCGGAGTGGGTTGGTCAATTGAATACAGGAGCAGTTGCAACTTGTCCAGCTCTTTGTTAAATAATGTTCCCGGGGTGAGTCACGGAGGAAAGGTGCGGTGAAAAGGGAAGACCTGAGATCACAGGGACAGTCACAGGGACACGGCCACGAAACTATCGACGATGGGTTTTTGGGGCCACTGGCAGCGCCAGACGGGACTGGGGGAGATTTGGGCGATGTCGGCTAGCAAAAATTCTGGAGCTCCCCGCCGAGTGCTCCCCGCATTGAAATAGGTTTTTGCTGATTGGCTGGCTTGGTGGCTCCCCCAGGTTTAGTGCGCTGTGTGTCAAGGTGAGCCACCGGCGCCGGTGCAAGGTCAATAAGGTGACGAGGTGAGCCAAGGTGAGCGAACTCAGGCCATCCTGGAATAACTTGCACACTGGGGGACCGATGCTAGATTTCATCACTCTCTTCAAGATTCTGATCCTCCTCGAGATTATTGCTCATCTCGAGACTTTGCTAAGCCTCTAGTGTATGTACTCATACAGTTCATCTCTACATGCTTATTTCCGCTGAGCCCAGATCACTTCCGGTCCCGGACGAGCCCCGTTTTTTTTTTCAGACCGAATCCGCCGTCTGTGGAGTGCGGCTACCCGGCAACGCGCATGCTGCCTCCATAATCCGCTCCTGCAATCGCAGCTCTGCTCCATCGGCCGTCTGAGCTCTCCGCCCATGGCATGGGTGGACCACTGAGACGTTCCTCGCTCACTCGAGTGTCATGACACTTTTATGGCTTGGTCTTCTTCTCATCCGTCGAGTCCTTCTCCTTCTGGTCCTTCTCCTCTCTCCGCGTCAAGATCTCGTCAATGACGCCAATCTCCTTGGCCTCCTCCGCTGTCAGGTACTTGTCGCGCTCCATCATGTCGTGAATCTGCTCGAGGCTGTACTTGTCGTGGCCGAACGACTTGTTGATGTGCCGCTTCATGATCTCGTTGATCTGTTTACGGATACGCTGGATCTGGTTCGCGTAGATGAGGATGTCGGACGCCTGGCCCTGCGTCCCGCCAAGAGGCTGGTGGATCATGACGGAGCTGTGCGGCAGTGCATATCTCTTGCCCGCCTCGCCTCCTGTCAGGAGCAGCGCCGCCATCGAGGAGGCGGCGCCGAGGCACACTGTCGACACTGGCGATTTGATATATGTCATTGTATCGTAGATTGCGAGTCCTGGCCACGTCAGCCTTACTCAAACTCTCCTGAGAATAGTGTCTTCCTACCCGATGAAACAGAACCGCCAGGGGAGTTGATGTACATCGTGATCGCTTTGTCGGGGCTATCGGACTCGAGCCATAGAAGCTGGGCGACTATCGAGGCAGAAACGGTATCGTCGATCGCGCCGTTGAGGCAGACAATTCGTTCCTAGCTCCGTCAGCCGTGTGCGCAGCAACTGGGTCATCGTGGAATGGCTACCTGCAGCAGCTTGGAGAAGATGTCGTCTACCTGCACTGTCAGCGGGGGGGCTCAATCGTGTGGGCACGTTCGCTACTAACATGTCCTCCAACCATTGGACTAATCAATTAGCTTTCGCGGCCTGAGAGAGATGCTGGAGAGTCATGGACGACGAACCGAGACCTCGGTGATGTAAGGTAGAGGAATGTTTGCAACAGGCGGGCTGTTGCCGCCGGGGCCTCCTCCAACGGGGAAGCTGGGAAAGTTTGTGAAGGTTCTGACATGTCGCCGAGGGACGGCCCGCAGGGCTCGGAAGAGTGTCCTTTGACAGTTCATGGCTGCTGAGGCGCAATGCAATTCGTGGTGTATTGCGAGGTGCGATGATGGTTCCGAGGTGGGAAAGATGCGAAAGCGGCAATCGACGGCAGCAGGCGCAAATGTGGAGGTGACGACGCCATGCAGAGAACTCACTCCCGCTGGAGCTGCCCCCTGCACTGACCCCCCGAGCTCCGAGCTTCCTACGCGTCTTCGCCTAAAAATTGCCCCGAAGCGCGTAAAGCTCTTTTTCTCCCTTCCCGCCCAGCTCCTGGCCCCCAGAATTGACTCCCCAGAATCCCCAACGTCATTCGAGACCCTCCGAACGCCGAGACCTTTCATACCCTTCCCCGTCGCCGACTGACTCCCGCCCCGCCTCCGCCCTCAACAGGGCGACCCGGGATGAAACGATGTACGGCAGTTCGGCTCCTTCGGCAGCCTCTGGGTAGCGCACCGACGCAGTTCTGTCAATGCCGCCAAAAGTCGGAGGGGGTTCCGGAAAGACCATCGCCGTTTTTCAGAAGGCAAGAGTTCGCTCGCAAGACCGAGAAGGGCCTTGAGGGATACGACAAAAAGCTCAAGGTCGATTCCATCAACAAGACAGTCGGAACATCGGTGGGCGACCTGCCCATCTCGCCGGTAATGGACCCCCGGTGGATGGAGGCTCGGACGAGGTATAGGACTCCGAAGCCCAGGCGGCCCAAGGACGTGTTACCCGCAGGACGGTTTCGCAGGAAACTTGAGGCGAATCCATATGGTTAGTGTTCCCGCAGTCCGACCACTGCAAAGCCTTCTGCAGCAGTTATTAACATGCCCTCACAGCCCTCGCCCTCTCGACCCCGATCCGATTCTGCCCAGTGTCCCAAACACACCTCCCGAAATACTTCCTGCAGGAGTTCAAGCAGATAGAGAACTCAGAAACAAACAGATACTGGTGGACACCCAGCGACTTGGATGTGTTGTACGCTGCAAAGGACTGGGAGAGCAAGGACGAGCCAAACGTAGATGGTGGTGACCCTCTAGAACAGCCGGGCTCGGCAGAAACCCCCGTTGCACAGCAAAAGGCCACAGACAGGCTCTTGAGACGGTCTCCGGCCAGCTATGTGCTGGCAAGCAAACCTCTTCTCAAATCTCTGAGCGGGACCCGGAAGAATACTCCCCACGGTGAAAAGTGGAAGAGCCTATTATCCAAACGGCAGGGTTCCGTCGCGCAGCAGTTTGGCGAACGGCAGGTGTGGCGCGAGGACATGGATGACTTCGTCCTCGAAAACATGCGCCGAAACGTCATGAAGTACCTCGTGTACTTCGCCGAGCTCCGCGCGGGGAGGACCGGCGGTCGTACCTCTTGCGCCTCGGGAGCTGGGAGAGGGTCGCGACGATACCTCAGCGCGGATGCCTGCTATGGTACCACTCGGAGAACGGCCCCAAAAGCAGAACAATAGTGAGTCGGGCGGCGACGTGACGGTGCTGGAGGACTTTGCCACGTATGACGTCCCAAAGGCCAAGTACGAGAGGAAGTTGCCCGTCTATGACCTCAGACGGCTGCTGGGTGAAGGATACCTAGCGAAGCTACGGGAGACTCCCATATTTCGCGACAGTTCGCTGTTTGTCTTGCGCAAGCAGCGATCTATACCTCTCCAGCTCTACCTCTGGAAGCTGCAGGCGTACATCGCCGAACACGACGCGCCTGAGGACAAGCACTTGTCCGAACCAGAGTCTGCGGACGACTTAATGCATCAGCTTGCGACAGCGACTTCTCCGCTGCAGTCGGCCAATGCGTCTTTACCGACGCGCAGAAATCATTCGCGGAATTCAAGTCAGGCGAAAGACCGGGCTATTCCAGGTCGCTCAGAACAAAAGGGCCACAAGTCCCCGCGGAACCCCAACAATGTGATTGACTCGAAGTCATCTGCTCTCCAAAGCTCAGGCCGCAGAGACTCTAAGGGAGCGTGGCAATCGCAAGCCGGCCTCAAGAAAGACTGGGCAGCGGCGGTTTCTTCGTCTGCCTCGGCTGTGCCAGGTCGTAAAGGGCTTTGAGCAGTCGTTTCTTACAGGCAAAGGTACGAGTGTCGCATGCACCCCTTTCGAACAGGAGGGCTTGCGGGTCAAGAGGAGGGTTATCCTCGAAGAGATGATGGACCGAAAATGAAGAGGATGTCGTTGTGTCGGAGGGTTTGCCCTCAATTTAGATACCCAGAATAAGGCACATTGCGTTGGCGCCTCGGCCTCACAGGAAATTTTCTCAACCATTATTGCGTTTGTACGTCTTCATCGGCGAGTTTTTGGTGTGAACGTGTGGCTCTCGATCAGTCTTTTACGGCCCTGACGATGAAGGCTATGGCGGCTTGATTTGACAACCTGATAATCGTAACTCTCGCCGCGCGCGGCGGCGCGGCGAATGGTCAGTAGGATCGCAAGCCTCAACCCTCATGTTGTCTCCATGATCAGGCGTATTTTTTCCCATCAAGGTCAACGAGTATTTTATTCACTCTTGATGAAAGCCCTTGGTCTCTCGACATGGAGGTGACATGCTAGGGATGACATAGCACTTGATAATAGCAAAAGCCAGAAACCATATACAGCAGGGACGATATGTCTGAACCTTCCCTGCTGGCGGTTTGAAGACATTCACCTTCCTTCGAGTGCTTTCCTCCATTCAGGCAGGCAGCGGTATATCTACCCCTTCACACACCTGACGAACCTCAACTTTACTTCTTACTCAACCACACATCAACTCACCTACCTACTTCCAACAGAAAGACACCCCATCATAACAGCTCTTCACTCCAAACCCAATCAAGGAAACATAAAACACATTCATCATCTGCCTTGCCATCTTTTAACATTCACTCAATTCTCTCTGTCGCTGAAGCAGCTTGCTGGCTAACCCCAACAACATCCAAACCGGCTTCCTGAGTCATCTCTGGATCTATCTGATACACAAAGGAATCAGCAAGACCCTCGCTGTCCTAGCCTTCCCCATCCACCATACGTTCCTCTCCTTCCTTCCAATTTGGCTTACTTGGGTTATCCTCCTCATCAAGTGCGCAAAGTGCAACTCACTCTTTCCAAGAGCCACCTTCCTCAACTTGGCTGCTTCCTCAATCTTATTGAAGCGTGTCAGCTCTTGAGATAGAGACTTTGCCCTCAACTTCCTACGGCGCGTTCACATTCTCCTAGGTCTTCTACACTTCGAATTTCCTTGCATCACTCATCCTACACTCAAGCTCTCCGATACCTATTCTTCAACATACATTCCAATCTATCCACCTCTTCTGCATTCATCAATCCTTTTCTACTACTTTCTCAACATGGCTACTGCACCAATATCTGTGTTTACCGGCATCGGTGACAGGGTCGAGGCCAAAGAGCAAGTGAGGACCCTGGGTCTGTCTCAGCTAACCGCTATCAAGGCAGCCCTCCAGAATGATGAGGTGGGAAGATCTCAGGAAGGCTTGACGGATTGGACTGCCAACTTGGGTAAGAACTGCAAACACATCGACTACCCGGCATTGCTAACATTGTCGGCAGATGTGCTGAACAACGCACACAGTTCGCGAGAGATCCTTGTAGGCGTCATTGGAGAGACGGGCTTGGGAAAGAGCTCCCTGATCAATGCACTTCTGGGGTGCCCGATCGTGCCCACCAGCAACTCCGAGGCCTGCACAGCCGCCGTTTGCATCTTCGGGTGGAACTACGACATCACCGACGGGAAAACCTTCAGAGCGAAGATCACTTTCAAAAGTTACGAGACTGTGGAGGCTGAACTCGATGCGCTCAAATTTGAGCTGGCAGATCTCGAAGAGACCAGTAGAGCGCAGGGAGAAGACCCGGACCCTGAGTACAATGATCGATGCGCTCAAGCCACCAGGCAGATCAGGAATGTCGCCAGCTGGTCTAGACTTACACAGGATTCGATTCGAAAGTCATCCCCGGCGCAGATCATTCAAAGCTCACCAGCTTTTGCCGACGTCTTTAGAAGGGGAAGGGGCGACAGAACAGAAAAAACCTTCAGACCCGTCAAGGCTGCGTCGAGACAGAGTTTTCTAGATCTTCTCAAGCCCTATGTGGCCAGCTCCAAGAGCGAGCTTCCAGGAGCGAAGTACTGGCCGCTAGTTGAGCAGGTGGAGATTTTTCTCCAATCCGAAGTTCTCCGTCACGGAATCAAGCTAGTTGACCTTCCTGGTGTCATGGATGCTCTGGAGTCGCGCGCTCAGATTGCGCGCAACTACCTCTATCGCCTTGAGAAGAGAATCGTTGTGACCCCAGCGACAAGAGCTGCCGACAACAGGGCAGCTGCAGACCTCATCTTGTCAGAGCGTGAGACCATGGTCCTGGACATGGAAGACATGCTGAAGCCTGATTCACTCTGTGTAGCGATCACCAAGATCGATGACATTGATTGCAGCTCTGCAGAGCATGAGTTTCCCACAGACGATATTCGCAAAATTTGTGGAGAGCTCAAAGACCGCGAGGAACGTGAAGATGATGAATCGGGCGAGGACGATGATTTTGGTGGCAACGCTGATCTTTACCAAACAGGTGAGAGACGGCAACGAGCTGATGAAGCACTGACGCGCAGGGTGAGACCGAGAACCGGATCTGGTGAACCTGAAGAGGGCGATGATTACTCTAGGATGGACACAGAGGCACTCAAGTCGCTTCTCAAGTATCTTTGCATTAAGGAGCGCAATATCGAGTTGAAACAGAAGGTTGCCGACAATCTCCTTGCAACGCGGAACAAGAACAGAAAATCCCGAGCGACTGCCGACACCTTGCCCATGGTGTTTCCTGTCAGCAGCAAGGCATTTCAGTCATTCAAACGGTCCACCAAAAGGAGCAACTTCGAGGGGTTCCAAGACCGTGAGTCGACCGGCATCCCGCACCTGAGAACCTGGCTTTACCAGGTTTCTCTTGAATACAGAGAGGAATGGGTTGATGGCGACATCCACCATATGCAAGTACTCTTCGACGCAGCCGATGGTTGGAGCCAAGGTGATCACTTGCTCTCCCTGAAGCTCACCAATGATGAGAAGAAGAAGGTCAGGGATGTCGTGACTCGTCTAAGCAACAATCTCAAAGATGTAAGTCGAACACTACTGCGAGGAACTTGTTTTGCTGACCGCCATGACAGCTCATCAATAGCAAGGTTCGCGTTGTCATTCAGCAGAATCTCGCCGCCATGAAGCCTCTGCGAGATACAACTCTGAAAAAAACGAGTCTAGCCAGGAAAGCGGCCAAGGGAGAGCCAGAGCTGGCCAAAGCTGTTCAACTCTTGGGCCGAGCGGTTGATGGGTGGGAGAGCAAGAATTCACGAGCGAACGCTGCGGCGGTGTCCAAGCATGAGAAGACTCATTGGTCTACCTACAGGGCCTGCGTCAGAAGAAATGGCGGCCCTTTCAACCGTCCAGCCAGAAACGGACAGGCGAAGTCTACAATTCACTGGATGGATGATGTGTAATGTTCCATAAGGCACCTTCCCCACTATGTATGTTTTCTGACTCGAGGCAGTTCTCATGCTTTCTGGCAAGCTCACTTTAAGAACTGGGCTTACGAGTTTACGCGTCGAATTCCCACCATTAAAGGCAAGATTCGGGGAACTGGGCTGAAGGCCTTTGCCGTTTGGACCAAGAAGGTCTGGGTAGACGAGGGATTACCGCAGCCTTTCCAAGACTTGTTGAAAGCAAGCGCCTTCAAGTTGGATCACCTCTTCGAGAAATACATCGCGGATGTTCGAGAGCGGGTCACCATGTTCCAGGTGACCTCCAGGGCGAAGAGAGATGCCCTGCAGAGAGCAATGGCAAACTGCATGAGGCCAGGTTACGAAGCTGCCATGAAGCACTCTGGTACGTAACGAAGAGCCAAAAACAATAATTACTGAATGAGGACTTGTCGCTTACACGATCGCAGGCAAGGGAATCATGGCGAAGCAAACGAATGCGGTCCGTAGGCATGCCGACGCCATCGGTTTTGAAATGTTCGAGGAAGTGCGCGACAACCTCGAAAAGGAGCTTGCAGACGACATCAAAAAGGTTTCTTCCGACATCGCCAGTCTCTGGACAGACAAGAAGGGCTGCGGTACCTCCATCAAGGCTGAGATGAGCCGCTTGGTCAAGCCTCTCCATCCAGAGGAGGCGAACCAGAAAACTTTGGCGAGAATCAGCAGCGAAACCAAGAATCAGCTTTCCAACGCCATCAGCGTATGGCGTGCCGAGTGGCACAATGTCTCTATCCGTCTCCCGGCGGCTACGGAGCCATTGGAGGAGTTCGAGGAAGTTGAGCCCAAAAAGATGGTGAAGATGGAGCATGTTAGTTCGGAGGTGAAAATCGAAACAACCGAGTAGTACGATTGGTAGAGGGGGGGTTGAGAAGGTAAGGTGAATTGGTGGCGATATATGGTCGCCATTTCTGGTTTCTTTGCTTTCCGTTCTGGTTTTGCATTCAACGGTTGCCGTACTGCGTTTTCGAAATTTGGGAGAGGCAGGGTGGAGAAGAGCCTCGAAATGGATTTCGAGACATCTTTTTCTCTTTAGGTTCTTTTGCTTTCAACCTAAAGGGATACGCTCGCTTGGAGCATCTTTCAAACCTAGATACATATCTAAGTTTTTCTCACTCAGAGATAGCATTGCTTTACATATATTCAGACAGTTAACTGATGCCTTCAGCCAAATTGCTCAAGTGCGTCTGTTGCTGATCGTTTCAAAGTGACACATGACTTGCGCTTCACGCTTAGCAAAAGCTCAAAGAATGCTGAGATCAACGACGGCTGATTGTCGCTGTTGCATGTCAAGGCCAAAGTCTCTGAAGAGTCGAGTCTCTCTACATGGAAATATTCGGTCTTCCTTGATCTCGTCTACTATCTCGAGTGGATCTTTTTACTTCTTTTCGTTAGTCTTTGGGTAAAACACATCCGGAGAAGACAAAAATACAACGACGACGAGTCCCAGTATTCTTTTGACGTCTAAAGGGCGTCTTCTAACGCAAGCCACTCTGTCAACAGTCCCTCTCTTGGACCCATCCATGGGTCTTCTCCTTAACCATGCCCCGCTGGTCAGAGTCCGCCAGCCGACCCCCTCCACACCGACCCCACGCACAAACACACGATCCAACATGAGCCTCTCACCGCCGCTCGTCACCAACCAGCGTTCCAGCAACGCAACAAGCAATCGCATTGTCAGCGCCGATGGTTTAGTGGTAAAATTCTCCGTTGCCATCAAGCAGCGTCGGGGAGCCGGGGGTTCGATTCCCCCTCGGCGCATTTCTTTTGCTTCTGACAGCTATTTTCTTTGTGGAGGCGAGCTATGGGCATACATCCACACCATCCATCTATCCTACACATTTAGGGCTTTCTAAGTATTGGCTTCGCGTCATTCAGGGGGACTTATACAGTATTAAAGCTTTTAGATATGATATAGGAACTAAAGAATGGTAGTAAGAATCTTATTGGGATCCCTGTTGCTCCTACTCTTGCCAGCACCAACAATGCGCGTTTTGACGGTGGCAAAGTTGTCTTGTTCTGACTGACAAGGAAAAATATGTAGCACTATCCGAGTTTGACTAGACGCTGCGCAAGAGATCAACGTTAATTTTCAGGAATGCGCTCATTGTTTGAACGTTATATGGATTCTTTACTGTAACAGGGCGGAGAAGTTAAGGTGATCATATTTAGTATTGACTACCGACAGTCTATGCCGGATTTGATGCAGAAGCAGTGGTTGTTGAAGTGATTGGACTGCGCCACAGATGACAATGTCAGTCAATGACTCCATTGGCCAAGGTGTATCTTTCGAACAGTAGGGCCTGGTTGTACCATTGACAGGCGTTCCTCAAAGCTTTCTCAGAAGCCTACAGGTACTCTTACGGACGCCTTACCTAGACGCCTCGTTTATCCAATGACGAATTGGTTCGCATCAACAGCGGCGACAAATATGAACTAATATGCCCCAGCCTTCCCACCTTCGAGTACGACCCCTCATTACCACAAAAACCTTTACTTCACGTTAAGAAAGAATGGACCCCCTCTCAGTCATTGCCGGCATAGCTGGCATAGCCCAGGCAGGCGCATCGCTTTCAAAGGCCATCTACGAGCTCGTCTCCTCGACGCGGGGTGCGCCAAAGGAGATTGCCAATATCGCTCTTGGCATTCATGACCTGTCTCTCATTCTGAGCGAGCTTCGGCATGTTCTGCGAGACGGTAGGGGACTCTACAGGCGGAATCTCCTCAGGCAAATCCGATCAGCGTCGAGAAGAATCAACAAAATACACAAAGAGATCGAACAGCTGATAGACATTGGCAGCGGCGTTGGGCGACTAAAATGGGCTTTCCGACGATCAATGAGCATGCAGTTGCTTTATGAAATTGAGGCTCATAAAAACGCGATCAATATGGTCCTCCAAACCATTGCGCTTGCAATACAGATTCGAACAGCTTCCAGGTAGGCTCAAAACGCACTGTGTGCCCCCCCCCCCCCCCCCCCCCCCCCAACCAACCAACCAACCAGCTATTCGTGCTCGGATTTGAGAATAAGACAAAGTGTTAATAAACCTCGTGCGAATAGTTTAAAAGATGCAGACCAATTATTAAGACGCCAACAGACCGAAAACACGGTCCAAGCAGCCTTGCATTCCATCCGGGAGCTTACATATGAGAATAACCAAACGCCGAACAACGGTTCTGGTAGCGGCTCAGAGGAAGGGCCTGACACGGAAACCTTTCCTACAACCGACGGAGAGGCTTCAACCAGCCACCTAACACTATGGAAAGGCGCCTCAGACGACACAGCCAAATGGCTATACGAGCTTGTGTTCGCTTCTTACGCCGGAACTCTTGCAGATGTGGATCTAGACGCCGATGCTGGCGCACATGAAGAGCTAGACAAATCAGAGGATGATGCTGCAGTTTCTGCTCTTGTGACATGGAGGCCAGGCAGCCTCCCACCTTTGGTATCTCAGAATCTACTTCATGGGGAAAAGGTTATCGAGGAGCTTCTTAGTGAATGGACAATTCTAACAGAAGACGAAATCAAAGGCGTTACTGCACAGGATCTCAACAAGGCATCTGCCACGGAATCCATACAGCAAGAAACTCAAAGTCAAAATCTTCAAGATGGACAAGCTGCGAAGCAACGAGAAATGGAATTCGTTAACTTTAAGGACGCTGTTGGCAGAAAATTCATGTTCCCAATGGAAAAAGTTAAGACCTGGGAGGTGAGTTTCCGGTTTCCTGTTTGTGATACTTCTGGGTGTTTTAGCTTGGACTCATTAAATCGATCATAGGGTGTCGAGGAGCTTATCAAACAAGCTTTCAGTCACGTAGCTGTTTTAGAACCACTTGTTCAGGAGGGGCGTTATGACCTCGTCGTACGTGAGGGTATACTGCTTCCACAAGTCTGGGAACATTGGATACGACCCGGAGATTCGGTAGAAATGCGAATGTGGCCCATGGAAACACACTATTTTCCGAGGCCGCAGCCAAGAGCTACACCCGAAGGGAACAAACCGGAAAACCATAAGCAGCCTCCTGTGTCTCAGCAAGCTGGACAAGCGCCGTCCAGTATAAGCCCGGTTTCTGAGGATAAAAAAGTACCCGTAGAACCACCAGCCCCTTTGCCTTCGTCTAGAGAGAAGTCGCCACGACCTGGTCCGAAAAGTTCTTCGCTGTCGAGTAGTAGAAACACCCCTGTCAACAACAAGCAGCAACGCGACAGAGGAACGAAAATGCCCGCGGAAGTGAATATCTCTTATTCAAACCTGCATCGTTCTTGGCGTCCCAAGAACTAAACAATCACTATAGCATCAATGCCATAGAAGGGCATACTCGGTTCATTAATATCAGTTTGTTTGTCTTAGATGCATGTGTCGGATTCCTCTCTTCCCTGGAGGTTTTCTTCACACCTCTTTATTTTAGTTACAGAAGAAGTGTATCACTCTCACGCAGTGTGTTCCATCGTCCTTGTGCGGTTTCCCTCATATCCCATCCCCACCTCATCAACCACCCATCTCTGTCTCCCGTCTTCCTCTACCTTCATTCCGTACGCATACCTCTTACCCATCTCGGCGATGGTCTTGTCGGCCGTTTTCTCATCCAACGCAGACACGGCGTTGAAGTCACGGCTCATCGTCGTGCCAGCGACGTAGGTCATGACGGAAGCAACAGAGTCCGGCCGGCGAGGCAGGGTGGGCAACGTGCTGCGCCAGTAGAACATGAGCCCCTGGGCGGTCAGCATGAGCAGCGCAATCATCACGCACCCGACACCACAAAAGATGTACTCCCCGCGCAGCTGTCCAGGCCGCCACGGCAGCCCACTCACGGTAATGACGAAGAACTCAGCCAAGAGCGCGGTAATCGCCACAACCATGGGGATGAAATACCCCATCCTCGCTAGAGGCACGATAGCCAAGAGAGGTAAGTTGTACCCGCGCTTTATGATTGTCCCTTCCGCCTTGGACGGCTTGGCGTGCATGCGCGCGTACGGCGCAAAATTCTGCGCGTCGGCAAATACCATGCCCCAGTACCGCGAGACAAGGATACCGATGAAGCACATGCTGACGCGGACGGCGATGGTTGCGGGACGCGAATCGTAGCTGAAGATGCGGCGGGGGTTGTCAACATTGACTAGGGCGGCGATACCGAGGCCGAGCAGCGCGAGGTGGAAGACACCGAAGAGCACATCGACTTTGAAACGGGTCTGCGTCCAGGAGGACGTCTTGAAGCTCGCCTTCTTCTGGACGGCCCAGATTTCGGTGCGTTGGAAAAAGGACCGCGGACGGTCCTCTGCTTCTTCAACAGGCACGAGACCATATTTCTCGCCGCTCTCGGCTTGGAACGTGCCGAGGGCGAAGCGTTTGTCTTTGAGGTAGGCAGCCAGCTGGGCGTTGGTCATGTCTACGGGGATGGTGGTGAACGCGCGCTCGACCTCGGGGTGACCGACGACTCTGGCCACGCCCGAGATGGATGTTGTGTCGACGGTGATGCGCGAAGGCGTCTTGTACCAGAGCCCGATGATAAAGATCAAGGACACCGCGACGGCCGCCAAGCCAGAAATCACCACATTCACTGCCCACCTGTTCACGCTGATGCGAGGACGGCATGGTAAGTCGGCGTCTTGCGAAGGCTGCTCGGAGCACCAGGAGGCATCAGCGGTGAACGCTTCGGCAGAGAAGGCACTGGCGATATCTGCGTATAGAAAGCTTGCGGCGAAGGGCACAAGTGTAATGGACGATCCGGCGAGCGCTGCACCCGAAGCACCAGTTTCGGTCATGAGTTGGCGCAGGGGCTCGAACACGGCGATTTGGGCGTAGGAAACTGACACGGCCGTGGTGAACAACCTGACGGCTATAACGGGGACGAAGTTGGCGACGACTGCCTTCGCAACAGGCACCTTCTCCACCACGGTCTCTTCATTGGGTATGTTTGGCACCGGCGACTGTTCTACTTTGGCCCCTGGTTGTGTTGCCGATGCACTCTCGACAACATGTGTGAGTACAGCTGTGGATTCTGTTGCCGTGGGTTCAGTTTCGGTTGCAGGAGAAGATGCGCTCTGTGTCCCCGTTTCTGACGCTGCTTCGGTATTGGACGCGGGAGTTGCTGTTGCTGGGGGATTAGAGGGGGAGGCAGCACCGGACCGAGGAATACCGCTTGGTTCAGGTGTGTTGGCGCTCGGAGGCGAGTTTGACTGGGATGCGGCTGGCGAAAGCGAGGCTTGGATACTGCTTGGATTATCTGCCTGCGTCGGTAGGGCTGAGAGGGGAGCCGAATTTGACGCGGCAGCTGAATTAGAGGGAGCAGCGGAGTTAGATATAGCAGCTGAGTTAGATATAGCAGCCGAGTTAGGTACAGCAGCTGAGTTAGGTATAGCAGCTGAGTTAGGCATAGCAACTGAGTTAGATATAGCAGCTGAGTTTGGAGAAGCAGAAAACCCTTGACTGACAGACGCGACGGCATCTAACACAGTTGGCGGTGCTGAGACAATGCTCAGGAGAGAGTTCGAAGCAACCTTAGTGGGAGATGCTGCAGATGCCGCAGATGCCCGGACTCAGAGACTGACAGGCCTCTAGATGAGGGAACCTCGGCCAAGTTGATCGGGACATCCGTTGTTGGCAGCACTTGCGTGGCAGACAACGTGCCTGTAGCCGGTGGTGAGACCGGTGAGACCGCTCTCTGGCTGGCGCTGGAATCCGGAGATAAGGAAGGCATGCCAGTAGATCCAGGAATGGCAGAGGGCCCTGACGCCGCTGGCATGTTCTGGCTTGGAATTGCACTCTGGCTTCCGGAGGGCAGCACTGACGGAAGTGACCCTGGTGATGGAGAGACAGAGCCGTTGGGAGTCGGGATGGTACCGGGCGGCTGAGAGATGCCGGAAGAGTCTGCAGGTAGAGACACAGTAATCTGGGCTTCCGGCTGAGAGATGGTCGAAGGCCCAGACACTGGTGTTGGATCCAGGATAGAGGGGTTACTGGGGTCAGAAACACTCTGCAACAACCCCTCTTGGGAAGATATGGCGCTTGGCGACAGAATATCTTGGGAAGATAAAAGGTTCGGTAACGGAGATGCAGTTGGAGTCGCTACGGGTGCTGAAGACGGCGAGGGAATGCTCGTTTGTACCTCCGGCCTGGCCGATTGGGTACCCGTCGAATCTATAATCGTGTCCTCACTTGGCACGGGTGTCGCATCAGGAGTATTCCCGAGGGCCCCGAAGGCGGCGTTGAAACCGAGGCATTCGGCGTGGTGCCGATTTGGCTTGTGTCGCGCGAGGCTCCGGATGAGAAGCTCTCGGTTGGGTTCAAGGCGTTGACAGGAGGTGTGCTTAGACTGTTGGAGGGGACTAAGCTTAAGCTGTTGGTAGGAGTAGACCGTGGCCTGGTGACGCTGTTGCTGAGAGTTGACTGGGAAATAGCCACCGTTGTCCGGCTGGAGCTTGACCTAAGGTCCGTATTTGCGCTGGTACTGGACCTGATCGAGCTCGGGGTAGCAGTGGAAAACGTCGTATCGTCTGTCTGCGTGGCGGTCGTGGAACCATCCGAGGTGACGGACGTGGAGGTTGTAAGCTCGCTCGTATCTCCTGATACAGGCGGGGTTGTAGTAGCCGAGGCGACTTCGGACGTAGTGCCGTCGGAGACGGTGCTGCCGGGTATTGTTGTCGATGTGAGTGGAAGAGGCGTTGTCGTGTCCTCCAGGAGGGTAGCTGTAGATATTGAACTAGTTGTGGAAGTAATGGCGGTGTTGTCCGGAAAGAGGGTGGACGTAGAGAACGAAGCGGAAGAAGCCGTCGGGATTCTTGAGCTGGATATAGAGCTTGAACTCAAGCTGGACGTATAGCTGGAACTTGAGCTAGAAGGATAAACAGAACTTGAGCTGAGAGTTGAAGTTGAACTCGAGCTAGAAGTATAGACAGAACTTGAGCTTAAAGTGTAAGTAGAAATCGAGCTCAACGTATAACTAGAGCTCGAGCTAGGAGTATAAGCAGAGCTCGAGCTTGAGATATAGACAGAACTCGAGCTTGAGATATAGACAGAGCTCGAGCTTAAGGCGTAACTGGAACTCGAGCTGGAAGTATAGATAGGAATCGAACTAGAACTCATCGAGGTCGGAATACCGATGCTCGAGCTACTAGTAATTGTCGGAGCAACCGATGAAGCCGTTGTCGTAGTCGGCCCTGTATCCATGTTCGTCCCTGGATCAGTCGTCGTCCCTGGATCCGTCGCCGTGTCCAAAACTACTTCCGGCGGCGCCATTATATCGAGCCCCGACGTCGGCGTCGGCGGCAGCAGTATTACCGTGGGGGACCCGCCGCCTGGAATTATATTCGTTGGCGTCGTACCATTTGGTTGGATGGGGGTGATTTGTCTCCTCTCCACGTCCAACACCAGGTCCGCTGCATTCCGGATCGCCTTGTCTCTCTGGCTCAGTTCCCGCTTGTTCGCGGCCGACACGACGGCCTTGCCCGAGCCGGAGAGCACGTACTGCGACTCGGAGCCCGCGGGGAGATTGCGGTTGAGCATCACCCCCATGGCGATCATCCCGAGCGTCACGACCAGCAGCGCGACGAGGGAGTATAGATGCGCCCTGAACGGCGTCTTTTTGGTATCCGCTGCCCCTGCAAGACGATTGGTGTTAGCATCATGCGATTTCACTAGGCAGGGGAAGGTGTTGACTTGCTCGAGGCATCGATGACCTGGTACTGCGGCGCCTTCGGCTGCTTGCTCAACCTCATGATGAAGGTTCTCTCACGCTGGAAAATCAACAACGACAGGGAACGGCAAATGAAAGTGAAGCCGCGCAAGTGAAACCAGAGCTAACGAATGTTGCGGTTTTCAACCTTGATGCAAATTTGACACCCAGCTTCGCGACCCTCACGACGTTGAACCGGCAGCCACGGCGTATTAATACCAAACCATCGGAGTGCATCCCGTGAACGCCATGGTCAACAGATGCGTCCAAACCTAGCAACCCGCCCACAGCACTCCCTCCTGTGGCTTCCATCGAGCCGCGTCACCGAAAATAAACCAAAGGTGGCCTCCGAAACTCGAGGGCTTGGTGTGTTAGTGTTAGTATGGGAGTCCTCACAAGAAGCCTACTGGCACCGAATACGCAGCGAGGCGTGTTGAATCGGGAATACGCCGCATTGGGAAGTCCCCCACAGTCTGCCACAGATGCGGCTGAATCAAGTTGGACAAGTCAGTTGAACCTTGTTCTCCATGGCTGCGGTCTTTTCGTTTGATTCGATAGCGTCGGACGCCTCCTGGGGTTCTTCACTCAGTCCAGTCCCAGTTGGAGTCTAGCCCTTCGACGTGCCCAAGACATGGGGAGTCCTGGTGTCCTGTAACACAGTCCTGAAAGCGTTTCGAACGGACTTGGACTTTGGACCTTCTGTCAGGAGAATCTCGAACAGCCACGTAGAGACGGGGTTCCGTCTCGTTTTGAGGCTCCTTTTTTCATGCTGAGACCATGGGTACCAGTCCCTGACCCTGACGATCAAAGTCAGATCAGTCCAGCTGAGCTCGGCCAGCATCCCGCTGTCTCCGCCGTTATGAGACACTTGGCCCTACGTTTAGACCGCGACTTTCCACCTCCGTGGAACCCTCCCGATAGTCCTTGGAGTCCAGCTAAGGGCGTTCAGATCTCGTGAACACAGGCAGTATAGGACCTAACACCAGGACCGCCGACCGCACAGCTGGCACCTGTCACGTCCAGCCTCTTCCTCTGCCCTGTCCCCTCCGCCACCGCCACGATGAGGTCCTAGTCAAGAAAAGGCCTCCCGAACGCCGCCAAAGAGAGTGGCCGGCTCCCAGACTTCTCTGGTCAGTCAAGAAAGCCAACGAGTCTGCCTCGAAACAAGGGCTGAAGTCGCGCGTTGGCAACGCCCCTTCGAAAGGCCACTACATCCACAGAGTGCGAGGCAAGGCGCCCTGGTCGTCGGTATTCCCTGGCGCCTTGTGCAGACGTTTCGAAGCATCGCGAAACAAAGGCCCACGCCTCATTGGAAACCAAGACCGTGATGAAATACCGTCGCTCATATGCTCTGGTTCACCTCGCTCTTACCGAGATCCTTACCTCGCTCTGTTCTCTTTGGGAGCATGAGGCGTTGCGAACTCATCGCGAAAGCAGGTGGTCCTCCTCAAACAGGTCGTGGAATCTAGCCTCCGCCGATCTCCTCATCCCGCCCCTCCCTTCAGCCCTAGCTGGCCGATGCCAAGTTCGATCAAGCTCACCAAAGTCCCAGCCTCAAAAGGACCCTTTTTTTTCTGTCCTGGTGTGCGCCGCCAATCCGGAACGATCCGAACACACACACACACAGAGGAAGACGCCCCCTCCATTACCTCCCCTCCAATCCCGTCACTGACGCAACGATTGAAGCAAACGCACTGAGCAACACGCGCACGAGAAGCTTCTTGTCCCAAACACTATACTCGAGGCTTTGGCTCCGCGAGGCTTTTTCCCTCTTGTGACTGAAAGCCTAACTTCCAGGCAACTAACTGATCGCACGAGCGTGCTGAAAGCCTTGTACCATCCAGGACAGACATTCAGAGGCCGCCTCTAGATCACAAACGCCATCACGCCAAATGACTGCCATCTCGAACCATGGACCCAGGTAACCAACTAGCTCCAAGAACATGTAGCATGTAGTCAACCAACGGGCAGAAGATGCAATCAATGCAGGGAAAACGTCGAGAGAACGGGCCCATTACACTCTGCATCGGCATCGGCAACTCAATCCCACGTCCCCCGGGCGCCATCTCCCAGACACACACACACACACACACACACACACACCCGTACGCGTGCAACCGACGGGGAGGGCGCTCGTCATCCCAGGTGCATCTAACGCCAGTGCCATTCGCTGCCCAGAACCCATGCCATCCACACACACACCCGCGGTCCCCCGAATCAAGCATTTTTATGCTGTATTTAAAACAACAATAAAAACAACCCCCCAAGTCCATGTTCCCTGTCCTGGTGCAGTGCCCTGGATCGCAGTCCAACGAAAAGAATTAGGTAAAACGCGGGACGAACGGACATGGGGGCAAGGACTCGAGCGGAACAAAGACGGATCCCCGGCCCCAAGATACAAAGAGGGTCCCGGAAAACAAGGGGACGGCCAAGCGAAGCACATGTCAAATGGGTGGCAGATATCAGTCGCGTGCTTCGCCAATCCACTTCAAAGCCCGAAAGCCAAGGAGGGACGGGGGGAGGGGGGAACTTCCCATGTCACTTGCATAACATAACATACTCATCGGGATCTGTGGCCGAAGACGTCTACACGTAATTCCAACAGGTTCGGGTTTCCATTGTTTGTTTGTTTAATTAGTGGATTGTTTTCCCGCCCTTTCCAGGAATCCAGAATCCAGACCACACTTCCCTTGGTGGACCCCCTCCGTTTCGCAGATGCTGACAGCTGGAGAAAAGCCCGACCGGCCGCCAGCGGCCGAGAGCGCGCGGCGTAGTTTGCGGAATTCCCGCCTGGGCGGAGAGAGAGACACGAGCGAGGAGAGGAAAAGCCGCCCCATGCATGCCAATCCTTCTCATGGCGACGCCAGTTGCGAGGACCAGCTTCTCCGGCCCTGACTCTCGATCCCGAATCGTGTGCAACTCCCGCCCGAGAAACGCAGTACATTCCAAAGAGGCACGTCCGCCCCGAGCTCTCGGGAGCCGGATGCCAAATGGCCCTCGGGCCCTCAACGATCAGCCTCCGCCGGAGTAGGCCGAATCCGACCTGACGGTGAAGCGGCCAAGAATTAGGCGACATGCGACAGGAAACTGGGTATGCGTGGGACCTCAGCGCACTACCCAAGGTGCCAAGTCGACAGGCCCATCCACACCCGTTTGCCGTCGCATCTGTAAGCGCAAGGCTGCTTACTGCATGCATTTGCATGGCCCCCGGAGGAACCACAGCACAGCACAGCACAGCTCGAATGTGAATGACTGGAGTGACGGGAATCCGCTGAAGCGAGGAGGCCAAGTGGGAATCTCTTATCGCGTCATGTCCAGGGCCTCGGAAACGCTCCCCCCTCCCTTCCTCGCTCCGCTTTCTCGTCCTGGTCCGCTCCGTATCCGTGCCTGGAGGTCGTAGATCAGCCTGTTCAGGGCATTCGGTTCGGTTGGTTGGTTTCCCATCCCGTCCAATTCGGTTTGGCGCTGCCCGTTTAACTCCACAATTTCTCCGTCCCTTCATCTCACCTCGCACCTCTCGACACCCACACCACACCATGCCGCGACATCATTGTCGTCTTTCTCGGAGAATCCATCGCGCTTTTTGTGAAATCGGTTTCATCATCGTCTCTCCATTTCTCTCCTCTCTTGCTGTTGGCCTGCCTAGAGTCTCCACCCATCGTCCCTCTACTGGTATCGTGGTATCGGATTCATCCTCTGCTCATCTCCGTTGCTAAATGCTAGTGTACAATGTGTCATTCCGTGAAAACGTGTGCTCGCTGTGTTGGAATCGGAAATACCCCTCCCTATTACGCCGGCCATGACATATCCATGGCGTTATGTCCTGATCCAAAATACTCCTGAATTATCCAGAATCCCTCTCCGTGGCCGCTCTGAGGTATCATTGATCCCATCCTGACAACCCGGGTTGACCGCCTTTCGTTTGCCTACTGAAAATGGCTTTGTGCGGCCGTCGCATCGTAGTATCCCCTCGAATGAACAAAAATAAGAAAATGGTAGTGGAATGTCACTGATCCGTGATTCGTGGCGTTGCCAAGTCGCCGTCGCCTGTCCTCCAAAATGAGTTGTTTGTTGGCATAATGAGCGAGTCCATGTTCGCAAGTCTCGTAGAGCACCGGCGAGTAAATCGGCCCCACGGCTCTAGATGAGCGAGAACTTGGACGGCGCCATGTGTCCCAAAGCTGCCGCCAGCGCCGAGTGCGAGTCGGGAGCATGCTCAGTGTAGTGCATATCCTCTTCGAAATATGGCAGGACCTTGATGCCGCAATGTTGCTGGAAGAACTGAGTTCCAACGTCGTACCGGTCTCTGCATCGCCTATCCCACGGGTCCACCTTGAGTGGGCTGTGATAGCAAAACGTGTTGTGTTCCGCCCCTCGCACGGGAAAGACGAGTCCGGCATCCTTCATCGTCGTCCATAGGTCGAGAGCTTCCGCCCTTGTATTGTCACCGTTAGGCCAGGCTGCCTGCATCAGCTGCACCACGGCGTATCGCAGGGCCAGGTCATCCGCGCTGCCCTGCCCACAACGGCCGGCGACCTGTCGCCGCAGCAGCTGGAGCTCCGAGAGCAGCTTCTCGAGTCTTTCGGGGTTGGCATGGTTGTAGAAGATGGCCAGGTCGATCCATGTCCGGGCAACGTACGGGTGGCGCCGGCCGTAGATGGCCTCGAGCTCTTCGGCGATGGTGGGAATACAGCCCAGACCAGCTCCGATAGCGTGATTGGCCCGTGCTTCTGTTGCACTTCGTATAAGGTGGAAAACGTCTGTCGTAGGGGATGCGATCGTTCAAAGTTTGTCGACGAATAGGCGGCTAGATATTTGCAGAGGGCAGTCATCATGCCTGCATCGCGATGCACCATGCCAAGAAGTAGCTCCTTGATGCCTTGGGGCGAAAGCTGCTTGAGATCCATCTCCAGTCGCTTGAATGCCCTCATGAGGAGATGGCCACCTGCATCGTGCTCGCCCATTTCGAATTTCTTGTTGGCGTCGGCGAACATGTCGCTCGATCCGGCGCCCCATAGCATAATCGATGTCCATCCGACCTGCCTGTCAGTTTCCACTTCGAACTGGCGACAATGCAAGAATGCCTTCCTCATGTTCCCAACAATCGTCTCCTGCGCTCGGATCAGGTCTGGTGATCGCAGATAGCCCGGAGCGGGCGGCGGTGTCGGGGTACGACATCGCACGTAGGACGGAAGTTGAGCTGGCGTTTCAAAGTCGACGAGATCGTACTCCGTAACACCTTTTCTCTTGAGATACGTGCCCAAGTTGACCACCCTACCGTTCCGCACAAATTCGGACACCTTGCCTTCGGCATCGCGCTGAAACTTCATCGACAGTAGTCTCTTCACTTCGTCCTCGGTGTTGTTCTTGACGAAGCCCCACTGCGAGAATCTCGTTTTATACATCTTCGGCCTGTGACGATGAGATGTCTTGTTCGTAACCAGAGACCAGGCAGACTTACGTTGCTTGAAAACCATACTGATCGGTCATGATTTGCATAACCTCTTTCAGAGGCCTCCGCTCTTCCAGATACAAGTGCCTGATGGTCAGCTTGAAGGACTCCCAGGCTTCAGCAGGAACCTGCTCCCGTGACGGCCGACTACCCGTGGCAGGCTTCGGTGTGGGAGCGATGCTAGGTGCTCGAGCTCGGCCCTAGAAGCTGGTTAGACTAAGGGTTTTCTGAAAAACAGATAAAAAGGCATACAGGAAATGATGTGGGAGGCGGAGGGCCAAAGGGCGTTTGAATCCCACTCGGAGTGTCAGGGATAAGGCTCGGTGCCGGCGTCGGTGCTGGGCTAAAGGCTGACGTTGCCGGGCTGAATGGTGTAGATACTGGGCTGAAGGCTGCAGGCGGCGGGCTAAAGGCATTCGTGTTCGGTGGTGGGCTGAAGGCATTTGCGTTTGATGGTGGATTGAAGGTATGTGTGGGGGAGCCGAAAGTATTCGTCGGGCTGAATGTATTGTTCGACTGGCCAAAGGTGTTGTTGGTTTGAGAGGCGAAAGCCTTGGATGATGTGTTGAACGTGTTCGTCTGGGAATTGAAAGTGTTTGATTGAGCTGCGAAATTCTTGTTCGTCGCATTAAAATCATTTGTCGGCAAGTTGTAAGTATTCGACTGAGAACCAAACGACTTGGCCGACGAGTTGTTAAAAGGATCCAGTTGACTAAAGTCGGCAGGCTGTTGAGCCTGATGAACCTGTGGCGGTGGAACGGGGTTAGAGGGGCCAGCACGACTATTTCCATCACCAAATCTTGCGTCTGGTGTGTATAATGGGATGCTTGAGGGCGCGCGAACTAATACTGGCTTCGTACTTCGGGGCACTGGAGGGCGATATGAATCCGAGGTACGAAAGAAATTAGGCATGGCCGGGCTGTGAGCGACTGGACTTGTGACTCTACTCATGACTGAAGAATTCAGGTTTGCTGTGCTGTTGTGCATGCTGTTGCTGCTAAAATGTGTCGATATTGGGCTTGCAATGGACGGGCTTACTACCGAGTTGACTGGACTCGTGACCCTATTGCTGCTTGACGGCGCAGCGCGAATCCCTTCAAAGCGCGCAATCAAGTTCGACACTCCGGCGGGGGGCGAGTTGAGTTCATCGAGTTCCATTCCCTCGTTCTGCTGCTGCGATGCGTGACCCATCGAGGAGCCGACGTTGAAGCGCGTTTGTTGCGCGCCGGGCGAGGTCCAGTCCATAGACGATGAATCGAAGTCCCTCCGAGCGGGCTCCTGCTGCGGCGGACATGTTGAAGGACCGCCAAAGTTCTGGGGCATACCAAATCTAGGATATGGTAGGCCGGATGTGTTGAGAGTAAGGCCATGATGATGATTGCTGGCTCCGTATGCTGGCCCAGAGGGAACACCGCGGGACTTATCCCCAGAATGATTGAACATCTCGGCCGCGTCCGGCGTCCCCCGATGGAGCAGAGGGTCGGACCGCTAGGTAGATGTCAAGACTCGGACGAGTCAAAGCTCCTCGGTAGGACAGGTGCCTCGTGTCGTCGTCGAATACGATTCATCCAAGAAGCCCAGCGCGCTGCCCTGGTGGCAAGCATCAATTGCCCTTCAGATGGAGGGGGTGCCACTGGGCCTTCAAATGAAAGACGAGAGCGTGGGAGGGGACCGAACAAAAGTGCCCATGATCGTCGCCACATAAAAGAGAAAGTCTGGTCCCTCTGGCTGCCAGGTTAAAAATAGAGCGGCAGAAGAGAAAGCGTCATGGTCCAGTTCAGTATGGGCAACGGATGGGTTCAAAAAGATTAAAGTCTGACTGGAGATCCCGATAGTTGACACAGGTAAGGTCGGATTGGGATAAGACGGGAAACCAAAGCTGAACCGAACTGGCAGCAGCGGTGTTGTCTCGTGCAGGCTGCGGCAAAGAGAAAGGGAGAGATATGGGGATGGGGGAGCCGTTCCTCCAAAACGGCTCGCTCGTTCGCTCGTTCGTGCTGGTCCGCCTGGCTAGGTGAGGTGAGTGAGCGGTAGGGCACCCGCTCTTTCGACGAAGAGGCCTACTTTCCGGTGTTGAACGGGCATTGGTCGACGGACGCCAAGTTCCCCGTGTGGTGAAAGCTGCAGGCAAAAGTTCCTTCGCGTAATTTCCTCAACAAGGAAAGCGAGCGTGGCACATGGGTAGAACAAGCCCGTATCCCGTCCCCTCGGAGCTCTCTTTTTTTTTTTTTTTTCCTCTCTTCCGCAGTGATAAGAGGGCCTCCTAACAACTGCCAGCGGGAGCCGTAGTTGGGCCCCATGGAGCTGCGAAGGGAAAGGGGAGGGGGAGGGGGGTAAAAAAGAAGCGTTACATGGCCAATGGCCGTTCAGATAGTCATGCTGTCCGGGCGTCTGCTAAACGAATGGGGAACCATTCACGAGGACTCCTGCTGCTCGGAGCGGGCGCTGACTGGCAATTCGACCGAGAGAAACAAGACAGGTTGGGGGCAACCCTCGATGTCGGATGGGGGGGGTTTGGCTTCGCTATCGAAGCTGGGTGCAAGGCGGTTCGTCTTTTCGATCGACCCTGTGGGTACGGATGCTGGCTGGTACCAGTGCGCTCCCTCGCGCCTCGCCCTGTCGCTGCGTGTGTACCACAACATGCCTCTCTTCTCGAGCCTCCAGGTCAGGGAGGGACCCGGGATTTCATCCAATGTGCCCCAAATGTCGACATTTGGTGCCGAAAGCCCACCGGCCTGTGGGAAAGTGGTTGACGAGTGGGCGAGCAATTCCAATTTCCAGGGTGGCTAGGAGGCGGGGAACAGGCATGATGGTGCCACCACTGTTCTGGATTAAGAAGGTGAAAGAGTGTCCTCGTCCACCGAAAAGACGCCAACGACCAAGTCCTGACTCAGACCACCAATCATCGTGCCTGGCTACAAGTATCCTATCAACTAGGCCCTCCCCCCTTTCGGAAAGGCCGCGGTGAGAGTCGTGCGAGCTGTCACCCATAAAGCAATGGGTTTCCAATCGGGCTCGCGGCCGGACAGCCATCCGAACTGTCCCGGTCCACATTGTTGCTGAGGTTCAAAGACCTCGATGCCCGCCGCAGGATGGTGGAGGATGATGGAGGATGCCTTGCTCGCTTTCGACCCTCGTTAGCCAAGCAACCAAGCCTACCGAATGTTAGGGAAAAGCTGGGGGAGGTGCCGTGGGCGGAAGACTAACGCCGTAGAAGCTTGGTGCATGTTCCAACGGCCTTCCACCAAGCCAACTTTGGTGCCATCCGATAAGCCGCCCTTGAGCACGGCCAATGACCAAGGCTGCTGTCAAGACACCCATCCGAGCGACGCCGCTCGAGTCTAACCCATTCAGTCGCCTTCAGTCGCTCGAAGGTTGCGATCGCGGATTTGCCTTTCAGCCACTTTCAATAGGCGGCGACGGGATTGAGCAGGAACCGGGTAGGGGGCAAATTCGTGCGGACTGGCCGCAAGACAAAAGAGATCGCTGCCCAGGGACGCCACGATCCAGGCTCGAATACCGGCCATTCGTCGGAATGGTCATAGCATTGGGCAGTTCGAGTGGGCACTGCCGGCGCGGCGGTCAACATGGCTTCAGCCGGTTGCACCACAGGTCATGTCCGTGCAGTTCTGTCTGGGCCGAGGCGTGGCCAAAAGTCAACTTTCATTGTTTCAAACAGTGGGTTGCCCTCGTTCTTGTTCAGCTCAGGTGTACTTTGTAGCATTCGACACATTCGGTATCTGCAGGCAAGTTGCAACGACCAAACCCGTCGAGAACAGAAGGACACCTGCAGCTGGACAGTGTGAGACCAGAAGACCAAGGGTCGATACAACCCGAGAATACGCAGGTCGCGCGCGAGATACCAGAATATCCCAATCGGGATAGGAGACGGGTGCCGGCTAATTTTCTCGATTTTTCGACCCCAATATCCGCTTAGCCAAGGAGACCCCTGCGAGACGTCTCTCAGGCACGATAACCAGCAGCAGATTCCTTGTCAACCCAAGATGAAGTTGAGCTGACGTTGAATTCTCTGCCAACGCGCATTTAACACTGGTCTACGGTGTAGCTGCACCGGAAGAAAGCTGCCTCAAACACCGGGGTCAACGTCTGGCGGGTGCCGTAGGCAGAGCCATTCGGGACAGGCGCCAATCCGTATCTTCCCTCTCTTGGTGTGGATACCGTGCAGTAAGGCGAACAAATGACGACGGGTCCGTGCCGATGTCTCTTAACATTCAAAGACCGTGGGTTTCGAAGCAAAGTGACGCAGTTCATCACGGTTTCTGGGGCATAAAGTCGTCCTTGACGTCGTGCTCCAGCAAAGTCAAACCTGGGATTCGCTCACGTCTGGGCCCGTCTTTCAGGGCACGCAAGCGGAGCGTTTCTGGTCTGAACCGTAGAAACCCACTTTTCTCGGACGACATTGGGTGTCTTCCAGACCAGCGTGGACAGCTCCTTCAGTCGAGAGTGTAGCACGCTCCTGCATCAACGTCTAACCGCGCTCCGAACTGCCGATGACGTGCCTCTGGTCGATTTCAGTGCGAATGTCAGCACATGAATGTGACAACCACCACCAGTCGAAGACGAACAACCAGTCATTTCGTCAATGGATATCGACTGAGTACAGCTCTAACTGCGGGATGGAGAATGGTGTCTTTGCTGTGCCACAATAAGTCGGAAAGTTTCCAACTACAGTACGAAGTATTTCTTAAACACTTAGACCCAGTTGGCCCTACCGATAAGGGGTGACAGAGTTCCACCATGTTTTCTTTGGGAAGGTAGAACAGGGTACTTCGGTCAAGTGCCTGTCTGTGCCAAAGACCTATGCTAACCGCTCCAACGGCACAGGGAGGGCATTTTAGCTTCACCGAGACAGCCGGTGACGTCGAATGGGGTTGAAGTGAGTGAGTGAGAAAAGTCCATCATCGGATGTTGGAGATACGCATGTGCAGTGCTGAACCTGCCTGCCAGGCTGTGCGAGCCAGCAGATGCGGGACGTGGACCGGGCAAGGCTGTCTCTATGCTTGCCCTCGACTGCAGCAAACGACACACCTTTCCGTGCCCAATTGCACGCCTGTGTAGTGACGGTTGTGCGCGGAGGTCGTTGACACTGCCGATCCTAGCCTTCCACTAGGGACTCGGGCGAGCGTTCCGGGCTCTGGCTCTTCTCTGACTTGGTGTCAGTTATTATTTGTCGGCGTAGGCACTTGACGCACGGTGTCAGAGTTTCTCAGTTTGGAGAAGACTAGCGGCGCCTTATTGAGGATCCGTTGACTTCAACGAAGCACGAGCGGCGGTGGCCTTTACCGGCCATTGAGTAATGGAACGAAGAACGTTGCCAACAACAACCAAGACCGAGACAAGTGTTCGCGCGTCGAGGGTTATCAGGATGGGAACTTTTGTGATGCCAAGCCGAGGCCAGTCTTTTGACGCATCGTAACCGTGATCACCATCAATGGCAGTGTGGTATAATAATCTTCGTCAGCAGGGTATTCTTCCACTTGAAGAAGACATTGTTTTTCCCTGTAGGTCTGCCTCGTGGCGTCGTTCACGTCGAGAAGCCACCCGGTAGAGTCATCGCCAGATCAGGCTCTCTGCTCCGAGGATGGGGAGGTTATCGGCGAGGAGGCGCGTCGACGAAAAGGTAGGAATACCGTTGGTGATGTGTCATTGGCGCAAGACTCAATGAATCCGCCCGCGTGCAGATGGTGGGCAAGGCTCCTCCTTTGTCGAACCCCGAATGGGATGGCGTCTTGCTGATTATTGCTCGTTGTCATCTTCCAGTGGAAGATCCAGGGTGAGAACCTGGCACGCATCTCGATGTCGCGCTTGGAGCAAGTCGTAGGTCGTTGGCTCGTTCGTGGAGGGTAAGCCGGATTCCACTTCCCCGTCCGGATGATGAAACCAAAATAGCGGATGAGGCATGGAGAAGACATATCGAGATGACGGGAAACATGGTATGGGACCGTAATCCACATGATCAGCGACAATCGGAACGTTGAAGCGATGGGCAGTCATCCGCTGGGGAGGCTCAAGGAGGTCGGGTACACAATAGGAGGAAGGTACGGTACCTCCGTTACGTGAGAGTGGAAAGGAGCGGCCCTCTCCTTTCGTTCCTTCCCCCCTTATCGGGCGTCGATGCTTCTTGCCCAGGCTTCTGGAACCCACGATAGGCTTTTCGCGCATGGTTGTATGCCAAATCTGCTTGTCTCTTGTACATGTTGAGACACATGATTCCAGCAACGGCGTCAAGAGCCAAACAGATATGATGGAACAAATCATCAGAGCCGAAGCGCCGCGTCTATCATATATTATCACCGAGCATATACATACACATCTTACAAGGACGCATCGTCAAGGTACGTACACCATCGTCAGCCGCATTCTCTATGCCTGGTGCCTACAACTTGTCATGCTGCTTCCTCTGCTGCCGAACCAAGACAAAGTCGTTGTCCCTTCGGCTTACTTGGAGAAACCATCGCGGATATCGACAAACCGCATGTACCTGTCCTTGGCCCAGCGCCGTGTCCGCTTCCCAAAGATGATCATGGGCAGGCTAAGGCCCATGATGACGAAGCTGAGGACTCCGAGAGCGATGAAACAGTTCTCCATGCCCGAATCGATCCAGTAGCTCGCCACAAACGTGAAGAGCATGGCAATCGTATTGTTGATGACTGCGACGCCCACCATGCCTTCGAGGACCATTTCACTATGGGTGGTTGTTAGCAAAGCCCTCTTTTACCTCAAAAAAGCAGACGAGCTCGAACAAGGGAGCAACTTACGGGAAAGAGTCGGCGAGATACGCCAGACTCAAGTCTCCAGCACACCCGTACCCGAACCCGATGAAGCCCAGCCCGACGTACGGCACAGGCCAATCCCACCCGCGCGCGCTCCCGATGCCAAACAGCCACATACCCGTCGGGAACACCACCGTACACAGCGCCATCAGGTACAACCGGAACTCGGACTCCATGACGCCCTTGTTGCGCTTGATCATCCAAAGCATGAATCGATCGCTCCCGTATCCGCCGTACACGCACCCTACAAGACTTCCGATCAGTGTTGGAAGGTTCATGTTGCCCACGGCGGCGGGCGAGTAGTTCCACGGTGGGCCATACCACCAGTCCTCCTGCACCGTCAGGTAGAACGTCAGGCAGATGTTCTGCAGGCCCCACTGCAGGCCCGCGTACCATACCGCCGGGAACGTGAAGACGCGGAGCGTGTGCCAAAGCCGGAAGATGTACTGCTTGAATCCCGTGCCGCGGAGGTTGGGCGCGGGTGTGATGATGCGGATGCGATCCCGGTACGTCTTGCGGCGGGAGTAGGAGAAGGCCATGCGGTCGCGCGCCGTGCTGGATACTATGGACCCTTGGTCGGTCCCTGTGGTCTCGGCGAGGTGGTCCTCTTTGCCAACGACTTCGGGGGTGGCAGTCGCAGCGGCAGGATCTCGCTCAATGTCAACGGAGTTCCGGGCCGAGGCGTGTACGGAAGTCTTCTCCATGACGGGAACGCGATGCGAGCCTTCCACGGCGTAGCGCTCGCCATTGCCGGTGAGGTAGCGGTCCCGGTTGAACTCGGTCTCCTCGAGGCCGAAGAAGATGACGATGAGGCTGCCGCCGCAGATGAGGGCACCCACGTAGCCGATCCATCGCCATCCGAGGCCGCTGGACACGTACGCGCCGATCAGGGGTCTGTAATCGGTCAGCTTCTCCATCTCGAATGTAAACAGTGATCCAACTCACCCGAGATAGGTCCCAATGGCAGTCGCAAAGGTGTAGATACCTAGCACACTGCCAGTCTGATGCTCGAACCAGATATCAAGCAGAGACAGCTGCACCGTGGCCTCACCAACCGACTCGGCAGCACCGACGAAGAGCTGCGACCACACAACGCCCGCTACGTTCGTGATGCGGGCATACCAGATGAGACCGCCAATGTTAACAATCATCGAGATGAGATACCCCAGTCGCCGTCCGTACAAGTGCACCAACGGTGAGCTCAGCAACGTCCAGTACCCAATGGCGATGAAGAGCACGCCCGCGCCGGTGTTGAAGGCATCATAGCTGATGCCGTACTCCTCGTTCACGCCGTCGGCGCCCGAGCCGGCATTGTTGGACGTCGCGGCCGTGAGACCCACGATGTACAGCACCAGGAACGAGTGCCAGATCTTGCGCGGCAGCGACCAGCGCAGCGGGTCGTTGGGCGACTCGGTGGGCTGCGGGACGAGGACGATGTCGCCGTGCTTCAGCAGCGAGGCGTCTCCCGGTAAGTTGTTGCCATTCTCGTCGTAGAGGCGTCGCGTGCCCGGAATGACTTCAGCATCTCCGACTGGTGGTTGCGCCGGTGAGTTTTGTGGAGCGGCCATCGGCGCGGAGAATAAACTGCTTATCGCGGGAGCCAAAGTTGTTGCTGCTGCGTGCGGGTATGGCTGTGCCGTGATCTCTGGTCGGGACTCTAGTTGTAAACTTCTCTTCTTCTTCAAGTCGACGCCTCCAGCGTCGTTAGTGCTAGCAGAGAAGCATTCCGTCCTCGAGTAGTATGAAAAGAGCAAAAGAGAGATCGCTCTTCAAAGTCGCCCAAAAAAGATTGAAAGCAACTAGCAGATGAAAAAAAAAAAAATCTCTTATCTCTTGTGTTCCCGCACGTTTTGGGCCGGTTGAGATGGGGCCGGCCCGATGAGGGGCGGACGTCATATCCCTGAGGGCCAATTAAATTGGTGCCCAAGGGGGTGGTCATCGAGATGTCGCGTTCTCCCTAAAGTATGTAGCGTGACGGCTGCTTTGCGGGTTTGTTGCCGTTCCATTTCCGACGTACCACGGACGGGGACTCCATTTTTTATTGAGCTTGTTTGATCGGATATTGAAGGCAGATTTGGCGAATGCCTGGCAAAGATGCGTTTTTCACTTGAAGAATCGTGAAATCCCCGGTCTCCTTCACAGGATGCCGTATGACAAGGGAGATCGCGGTCAAGCTATGGGTGCCGGGAGACTCGGCCGGTACCGCGACAACTGCATATTTTGTGACGTCGGATATGGCGAACTCTCAACCATTCTCCATGGCATTCGTCCAAAGATTCTAGCAACGGGCGACGCAGGTTCGTGTCGAGAAGTCAGTGCCACAATAGCAAGCTTTCAGCATTGAAGCCCCTCTTCTAGCTGTCAGTGCTTCGTCTCTAGCTGTCCATCCAAGGAGGAAAGACAGGTCGACCTGCCCGTTCGCTGCCGGGTGGACCCAAGCCATGGAGCCTCGACACCGGCCAACACAAGGACGAGATCGCCCGATGGCTTGAAGTCCCTGGTGGAGCGCGGGCCGTGGGACGTTGAGGTATGTAGAAAGTTAGGCGGGACGAGCCTAAAGCCTATTCCAATGTCCAACAACGCCACGGGATGCTGGGGCCACAAGCACCTCATCAGGCAGGAGAGAGGTCAGCCGGAGACGAGAAAGGGGGCGGACTGACGATAGTATGGTGCCAAAACAGGATTGCGGCGCCCCAAAGGGGCTCGAGCTGGGTGCTGACATGCGCACTAGCCCGCACCGCCGGCGCCGATCGGCGAGGGCTTCCTTTTAGAAACTTTTCAGAAAGCGCGTCGCACCAAATAGGCACCGGCATGAGAGATCGGGATGACCCCTTGGGGATGCCTTGCACTGCATTTGCGCGGCTGTGCAGGCCCAACCAAGCCTTGTAGGGCGTCACTCGCAGGATCATTGGTGTTTCCTCGTTCCACAAAGACAGGAGTCGGCCAGCGGGGTCAGGGACTTTTCTGACTCCAACGGGGCGTTTAGAGAGTCTGAAACTTTGGACAGGAACCCGCGGGCGACATCTCGGCATATGTCAACCAGGCCAGATTCGTCTAGCAGCTCGGAAGAGGTGACGTTACTGAGCTGTCAGTACGGCAACCCGCGGAGCCGAACAGGGCCGGGCGGTCGGAGGGATTTGAAGGCATACCATCCGGGCGCCCCGCCCTTGTCGAGATCGCCGGCGAGCTCTTCCCATCCGGGCTTCTGGGAACCGCTCGAGAGACTTCATTGGTCGGAGCACAGCTTTGCCCCCACTCCAAGCTGTTAGCTCCCTTCATCACGTGGAGGTGACGTAAACCGTGTCCTCCAAAACCCAGGATGCTGGGAGTTGCGGGAGAGTGTTGAATGAGGTGCAGTGCGTGCCTGTTGCAATGGATGACCTGTGCTGTGCAGCTACAAGTGCAGTAGACTTGATTCCGTGCGTCGTCAGTGGCCGAGGTATCTCAACGGCCGCGTTGCAAGTGGGGACCCTCGAAGGGGGGGTTACTATGTACCTTGGGTTTGAGGAGAGGCGAGAGGAGGGGGACCTGACCATCTTGAGCTCCTTGCTCCTCTGCTTCAAAACGCGACCGGAATCCGTCCACTGTCCTTTTAAACCCCCATGCTTTTGACCTGCTCGCATCCCAAATACGCGGACCCTACCCGAGAAATGGCTACGACCCCTGGATTGCGACCCTGAATCCCACCTCCTTTTCTTGAAGCTTAAGTGTCTTAAATACCTGCCAACCTGTCTCGCTGCCTTTTGGTCCGGATGCGAATCCTTTGAACACTATCGCCGCTTGCATCTGCACGTTCAGCCCGGCACCGTGCGGCGATTGCCTCTGCGAACCACACTATCCATCGAGTGCACACTACCGAAGCTACCGAACCACCAGCTTGTCTGAATACCTGCGATTTCGAAGGTTCACGTCGACCAGCTAATCCAGAGCCCCTTTCCGAGGATCCCGTATCCAACACAGACTGGCAACATGACATCAACTGGGTCTGCCGCCAACGGCGGGGCTCACGATCATGTCCTGCGACCGAGGCCGAGAAAACCGCAGCACTCGCAGCTGACGAGGACGCAAAGCAACACCTCTGTCGGCGAGATGAACGGCTTGACGCCCTTGTCAGAGACTGGCCCGGCGAGCGGCAATACCAGGTACGCAGTTTTCCTCGCCGAACCTCGCCCCCCGTCCAACAGCATCGCTAACTCCAATGTCGTCGCAGTGGCCGCTCGACACCCGTCCCCCACGATGCGCTCCCCTCCGTCAAGAGCATGTCCTCCGCGAAGAAGCAGGCCCGCGCCGAGTCGCGCCGTCGCATCTTCCCGACGATCGAGTTCGCGAGCCGCGTGTCCCATTTCGATCCCAACTCTGACTACCGCGACTTCCACGGCTTCTTCAACCTCTTCTGGATCGGCCTCGCCATCATGGCCATCACGACCATGCTGCGCAACATCAAGGATACGGGCTACCCCATGAGAGTGCAGATCTGGACCCTCTTCACAATCAAGATCTGGCACTTGGCCATTGCCGACTTCCTCATGGTGGCGACCACGCTGGTGTCTCTGCCCCTCCACCGGCTGTGGCGCGCAGCCCCCGCCAACGGCGCTTTTACTTGGAAGAACGGCGGCATGGCCGTGCAAAGCATATACCAGGTCTTGTGGCTTGCCTTCTGGATCGCCATCCCCTTCGTGCTTGACTGGACATGGACCGCGCAGGTGTTCCTGCTCCTGCACACCATGGTGCTGCTGATGAAGACGCACAGCTGGGCGTTCTACAACGGTCACCTCAGCGAGACGGAGAAGCGCCTGCGCGCGCTCGATAACCCCTCGACCGCCTCCAAGGACCCCGTCTACCTGTATCCCACGCCTGACAATCCCATGGGAACCGTCAGCAGCCCCAAGACCCGCGACTTCAAGGACAAGGCCGAAGTGGCGAGCAGCTCGGACGAGGACTCCACCACCTCTGACGAGATCGAGCAACTCCGCGAGGACCTGGCCCAGGAGCTCACCTCCCCCATGGGCAACATCGCATACCCGCGCAACTTGACGTGGACCAACTACTTTGACTACCTCCTCTGCCCCACTCTGTGCTACGAGCTCGAGTACCCTCGGACGGCCCGCATCGACTGGCAGAACCTCATCTCCAAGATCGTCGCCGTCTTCGGCTGCATCTCGCTGCTGACCGTCATCTCGGAAGAGTTCATCCTGCCGATCCTCAGCGACGCCTCCATCCGCCTCAACGCCGTGCCCCCGCCGCCCGTCTCCGAGGCCCTCCTCATCCTCGCCGAGAGCATCTCGTGGCTCCTCTTCCCCTTCATGCTGACCTTTTTGCTCGTCTTCCTCGTCATCTTCGAGTACGCCCTCGGCGCCTTTGCCGAAATCACCCACTTCGCCGACCGCCACTTCTACTCGGACTGGTGGAACTCGACCGACTGGATGGAGTTCTCGCGCGAGTGGAACATTCCCGTCTACAGCTTCCTGCGCCGCCACGTCTACAGCGCCAGCCGGCCGTACATTGGCCGCTTCCCCGCCACCGTCATCACGTTCCTCATCTCGGCGATCGGCCACGAGATCGTCATGGCGTGCATCACCAAGAAGCTGAGGGGCTACGGCTTCATCTGCCAGATGCTGCAGCTGCCCATCGTCGTGCTGCAGCGCACAAAGTTGGTGCGCGGTAAGAAGACGCTGAACAACGTGTGTTTCTGGTGCTCCATGATTATGGGATTGAGTCTGGTAAGTTGATACCTCACAGCCGAGTCGACCACAACTAACATCGTGCCAGATTTGCGCTCTTTACGTCTTGGTCTAGAGTTACGCAGCATTTGCATCAGCGTTGGCATCGTTTCATCTCTACCCATCTCGCTCCGCACAAACCCCCCGCATCGTTGGGGGCTTGGTGTTGGAAGCATTTCCCCAAAAGGTGAATAGGCTGGCTAGAGGCATTTTACATCATCAACAACCCACTCTGTATCATTACCGCATCATATATAGGGGCGGCGTCCCCTTAGACACAGTCATTTTTTCTGGCGTTTTCTAGATAGGTCTTATACCCCCCCTTATTTACATGCCCGACGTGGCAGACCTCACTCGACCTGGTGCTGTCTTCTGAGTTCTATGTGAAGTTGTCTTCCGTTTTTCTCTGACTTGGCGACGTACGAATGCTTTCACGCGGGAATTGCAGTCTCTTACGTAGTGCTGGGGCTGTATGGGGCCCACCGCCTTCACACTTGGAAGTTTCTCGGTGATAAAGCTATAAAACCAACCCTCCAGGGATCTCTGGAACATCCATTCTTCGTCAACCAGAGCGATTACTCGACCTTCAAACCATATGGCGTTGCTATTCCCATTCTTTCAGTCAATCGGGATGAGGCGCCCCTTGATGCACACTCCATATTACGGCTGGGGGCAAGTCGATTTATTCGGTCTACCTAACCTTGAACAAATGCTTCAATGGAACTGGAATGATGCAACAACCATTGGACCCTTGAGCACAAGTTCAACAGCAACTTGGCGTATGAAAAGATATGACAGCAATGCCTCTTTTAAAGGAAATGAACCGGATGAGGTTATCTCTTACTTTGTGCAATCGATATCTCTTTGTCATCAAAACTGTTGTCGAAGTTCAACAGCGCGGGAGCCATGTTAGTCGTATAAGCAGCCAAGGCCTGTTGGTGATGATGCAGCCATTGCGGCCGAGTCCTGACCAACGGGCCCAACGCCCACCAACCAGGCTTGATTCAGCAATACTCCCGCAGGCTCACGTGAGTCCCGTAAGCGCTCAGCCTTCTGCGATTGATTCCCCCGCATCCTCTACGCGACTCAATACGAAGGATAACGTACTGTACTCATCACCTTCATTCAGACCGAATCGCGACCGTATTACGCTATCGTCATGGCTGATCCCACCTTCAACGCGGGGATTAGCGGCCGGAACGTTGTTGCCGCGCCATACGCTGCAGACGGCGGGACAAACAACTTTTACTTTGCCAACGATCGCCCGTCGGAACCGCGCAAGCCGTTCTCGACTGTTCCCTTCCCGCCTGATCCCGACTTTGTCGATCGGCCTATCATCACCTCATGGCTGCGCGACAAATGTAGTCGACCGGCTAGTCGCGCCGCTCTTGTAGGGCTGGGCGGTATCGGGTACGTGCTGCTTTGTGTCAGAAGTCTGCGTCTTCATCCTCTGACAACTGTTAGGAAATCACAACTAGCCGTTCACTACGCGCATGAAATCCGACAAGGTTCGCCGAACACACACATCTTCTGGGTGCACGCAGGCACCAAAGCACGATTTGAAGAGGCATACAGCGCCATTGCTGATAGGCTGGAATTGCCTCGCCGTCATGATCCCAATGTCGATGTGGTTCGATTGGTGTATGACTGGATGTGCACTGAGGAGAATGGACAGTGGTTCATGGTTCTCGACAATGCTGACGACGTTGATGTCTTCTTTCCGAGATCGAACCGCGAGCAGAATGTGCCCGTGACCTCGCAGGCACGCCAGCCGCTCGCGTCCTTCCTGCCGCAGAGTTCCAGCGGAATGATCCTTGTTACATCACGGAGTAGGGACGTAGCCGAGCGGCTAACGGGTAGTAGCTGGAACGTCTTGTCATTAGAGGCGATGGAAGAATACCAGGCACAGAAGCTGTTACGAAACAAGCTTCAGGAGATGCACGACGAAGACGTGGTGCCCGAATTGCTTCAGGCCCTAGAGTACATGCCTCTGGCCATCACACAGGCGGCCGCATACATTCTCCGACGAGCACCTCGAATGTCGCCGTCTAAGTATCTGGAAGAGTTTCGAAAAAGCGAAAAGAAAAGGGCGAGCCTCCTCAACAGAAATATGGGTGATCTTCGGCGAGACCCAACCGCCTCGAACTCGGTCGTTACAACGTGGCAGATCACATTTGATAACATCCGTCAAGAGAGGCAATCAGCAGCCGACCTGCTTGCATTCCTGAGCTTTTTCAATCCACAGGGAATTCCTGAGTGGGTAGTTCGGAGTTACCAGCGCAGCAAGCACCTCAGTGAGAAAGATGACAGTGAGGAAGATGGCAGTGAGGACGAGATCTCTGAGGATGATCTCAATTTGCTCCGCGAATTTTCGTTAGTAACGATAACCACGCAAAAGGGTGTGCTTGAGATGCACGCGCTCGTGCAGTTCTGCACACGAATCTGGCTCTCATCGTTTGACAACGTACAAAAATGGAAACAGAGTTTCCTACAGGTCCTATCAAGAGAATACCCAAATGGAGAGTATGAAAGCTGGGCAAGATGCCGGGAACTGGACCCCCATACTGAGCTTTTCCTTAAAAAAGAACCTGAGAATGAGGACGACACCAAGGATTATATGGTCCTACTTACAAATGTAGGGTGGTATAAACGGGCGATAGGGAAGTACGATGAGGCAGAGCAGTTGAATCGAAAGGCACTAAAGGGCAGAGAGAAGGTCCTAGGCAAAGAGCATCCTGACACGCTTAGAAGCGTTAATAATCTTGCCTCAGTTCTATATGATCAGGGAAAATATGATGAGGCAGAGCAGCTACATCGACAAGCACTAGAGGGCAGTGAGAAGGTCCTAGGCAAAGAGCATCCTGAGACGCTTAGAAGCGTTAATAATCTTGCCTTAGTTCTGCAGTCTCAGGGAAAATATGATGAGGCAGAGCAGCTACATCGACAAGCACTAGAGGGCAGTGAGAAGGTCCTAGGCAAAGAGCATCCTGAGACGCTTAGAAGCGTTAATAATCTTGCCTTAGTTCTGCAGTCTCAGGGAAAATATGATGAGGCAGAGCAGCTACATCGACAAGCACTAGAGGGCAGTGAGAAGGTCCTAGGCAAAGAGCATCCTAACACGCTTATAAGCGTTAATAATCTTGCCTTAGTTCTGCAGTCTCAGGGAAAATATGATGAGGCAAAGCAGCTACATCAACAGGCACTAGAGGGCAGTGAGAAGGTCCTAGGCAAAGAGCATCCTAACACGCTTATAAGCGTCAGTTATCTTGCCTTAGTTCTATATGATCAGGGAAAATATGATGAGGCAGAGCAGCTATATCGACAGGCACTAGAGGGCAGTGAGAAGATCTTAGGCAAAGAGCATCCTGACACGCTTATAAGCGTTAGCAATCTTGCCTCAGTGCTACAAAACCAGGGGAAATACGAGGAGGCAGAGCAGCTACATCGACAAGCACTAGAGGGCAGAGAGAAGGTCCTAGGCAAAGAGCATCCTAGTACGCTTACAAGCCTTGATAACCTTGCCTCAGTACTGCGAGATCAGGGGAAATACGAAGAGGCAGAGCAATTACATCAACAAGCGTTCTTTGGCTTCAAGAAGGTTCTGGGCAAAGAGCATCCCAATACCATTGTTACCGCTGAGAATTTGATCTTGGTGCTGAAAATCCAGGGGAAGCATAAAGAGGCAGAGCAGATAAAATGCTAGGAACTAGAAGATAGAGAAAATATCTTGAAAAAACAGGACCTTAAAACACCTGTGAGTATCTATTGCCTTACCTACCTTTACTAGTGGTGAGTTTGTCTCAAAGAAGCTAAGACGCTATATGATAGGAATTTGTCTAGCTATATTTAATGTTGTATACTGTGATATCTAGTTGTAATAGAGTGTGACTATTAATCCTTTTCCTTAAGGGAAGATATACGGCTAGAACAATCAAGTAGATTTCCATAGGAAGATAGTTTGTGCTAAACTCAAGTGTAACATTTGTGTTTATTGATGTTTTGACTGAAGATTTGGTGCCTTGAATAGATATCTACTGGGACAGTAACATGAATTAGACCATTCAAGTCCAGTCCCTACGGATACAAGAGTTTGGTCTTTACGGAACGTTAGGATGGGACTGAGCTGATGCCATAACCAAAAACAACTATAGAAATGTAACTTCTACAGGGAGCATATTTCTGGAGTGTATTTGAGAAACCTTCAACAAGTAAACCGGATTGTTATCAAGATACACGTTCTAGCAAGACCAAAGACGTCATCCTGGGTCCGGTATTGTGCTGGTCTTATTTGAACGTGAACGGTAAACAGATGCGGCATAACAGCCTCAGTTCCCCGGTTTTTGTTCGCTCTTAATGGGTCACACGACGCGATTGAGTTCAAGTGACACTGGTGAGTTGGATGTGTTGAACCAGTACTGGTGTATTACAGCCGTCATTTTCTTGCTACGGCTGGAACAGCTTGTTTTGATACATTCATAGAAATGAACGGTAGTTCCGTGATGAGGTCCTTCGACGATCTGGTTAAAGTAAGAGCCAGTATTGGTGGCTCGATGCACTCCCGTCGGGCGCGAGCTGAAAGAAGGCGTTCTTGGCAACATGCATGGTGTCGTGCCCATCGCCAATAGCCTCTCGCTTGTCTTGGTGGTCTGCCTCTCAGCGGGTACACCACCCGGGAGGATGGCGCAAGATAAAGCCTCAACCGAAACCCACTGTCACGGCGGTTTGCGCCGTCATCTTGCATCCTCATATGGGTTTGAGACTTAGTTCATCAAAGTTCCATACATCACCCGCAAACCATCGCCCTTCTGGAAACTACTTTCAGACCAGGAGATGGTCGGCGCGGGGGAAATGCCTGACAATACACCAGCACACATCTCCGCTTCGGGCTTGGTAGACCAGCGTTTAGCCAAAATCACGGTGGTGAAGTTCAAGCAAGATTATATGTGAGAATCTCGCTAATACTTGGAGATAGTCTGAACAAGACGCATTTTCTAGCCCCAAACCCGACGAACAAGCCGCAGCCATAGAGCGAGTCGACTATGTACATCCGGTTGCAACTCAGCGGGATGACTCACCCAATACAACTACCGGAGACTTCGAAGTTCGTATAGAAGACGGGGGAGATAACGAAAGCCCGAAGCTGCAAGACCGAGAGACCACCGATACTGAACCTAGCGCACACCCAAGGCGGTCCACCGCTGGGTACGGGACAAACTGGCTTCTGATCTTGGCCAGTTTTCTGACTTCATACTCCATCTACACCTACCCCGACGGTACTTCTACGTTCTACACCCCGTCAGGAAACCCCTCTGAGACTAACGAACACGCGTAAACAGGAATCCCAGACGACGAGATGATCTCTCTGGACTGGTTCCTCAAGTACGCCATGGGCCGCTTCTGGAACCCGTCAACGGGCTACCTCATCATCGTAATCGCAGTCTTCATCTCGAGCACCGTAGCGGTCACTTATAGGCAGGGATATCAGTGGGTTACGATGGTGGGCTTCTCCGGCGCTTTCGCCCACGTGCCGGTGGGTGTGTGGTTCGATGGCTGGGAGGAGACGCTCCTGCGGGACTTGCCGATAAGGTTGATGATTGCACCCTTTTTTCTGCAGCTCATCATCCCAGTTGAGGCTTGGACTGGGTGGGACATCACCAGGGAACGGCGGATGCGTGAGCATTACGGGGCTGTGGAGCGGAAGAGGAGAGAGGCGAGGGCGGAAGATGACTGCGAGGCGCAGGAGATGGAGGAGAGGGGTGGTGGTGATGGTGAGCGGCTGATGAACGAAGGTGAACGCCAGGAAGGGTACGGTGCGTGCTAGAAGGTTTCTGGACAGGTTTGATATGTGTTCAACGTAGATTCGTAAAGTTGCAAAGTCTGTCGAGGCACATTCAAGTAGTGTTCTGTGGGATCGATGTCTATAACCAACAACCCAGGCTACTGCCATTGTCTTTCCATAACTCTAGTACCTAAATGCTGAATGTTCAGTCAAGGTGCAATACATGATCACTAATTCGCACGACCTCACCTAATCTACGAATTCTCCAAGCCTTAACAATGGTAAAAGTTTGACGTCTGATAAGACCATGGGAACGGTTAACAGAGTTTGACGACCGTCAACATCAAACATTTCTTGATGTACAGCAATGCTGTCTGGGGTTAACCAAACTGGACACATTTTGTGCGAAATTCAACCGCTGTATTGATCCTATCTGCGAGAGACACAACATGACAGCGAAGGCCCATTAAGAAGAAGTGAGTGTCGTAGTGCTCGCCAGTGATGTATGAATACGGAGAACTCCCCATTGCAGGAGAGTTGAGCACTCTGGCTTCTGGGTCACAAACCTATCCGGTGTGAGCTAATTTATATGAAAACTCCAAGTCCTAGAACAACTGGGACTGTATGGCCCATGAAGGCGACGTTTTTTAACATATCGTACCCGGCTCAGCGGTGAAGTGTCTTGTGCTACAAAGATCGTCAGAAACATGCTCTCTGATATTTAATTCTTGTCGAAAAATACACAGAGATGTTGCGAAATTGGGTGTCCCCGATCTTGATCATAAAGTATTTGGCACCAAACAAGTTTGATTTTTTCAAAGAAAATAATCAGTCCATGATCAGAGTCGGGTCCAGGAAAGGGAAACTCGGCCTTCTCAAGATATGATATACACATAGTCCCCTCCCTTAGAGGTCTGAGAAGCAGAATATGAAGACTAACGAGGAACTTAAAGTGTTTTTTGCGTACTTATCGTCAGAGCTGTTGTCATCCAACGTGGTCTCGAAGACAGGGGGTTAACGGTTGGCCTCGGTCTGCACACTCGAGGGCTAAAGTGCATGTGTTAGTATCGGCCTTCTCAAGTTAACGCATCTGGAAAATGAACCTCGCAGCCTCCAGAGGGCAGCATGTCGTACCCATCATCCTCTCGCGTGTACTCGTCCCTTTTCGGCTATAATATGCGGCATATGACCGAGACAGAGCACGAGACCCCTTTTCCTGATCCCAGCGAATCATCTCACATCACATACGGCACCGCCCGCTCCTCACCGCCTATATTCTACGAGAACTCCGTTCCAATGCTCCAGCCGTTTCCAGTAGACGCACAAATATGCACGTCGATGATTTTGCCCCCCCAAAAGTCGGAACCGGCAGGCTCAGAGGTACTCTACACGACCCCCTTCAACCACATAGCCCGAAAGGGTCGGATATAGCCAGATGCAATAGGTCGATCACAGGCCCAATCCCTCAACTTCGCCCTCATCATCAACACCTTCATACCCATCTCCAAGACCCACGAACGCGTTCAAGGTACTCGCCGAAACAACCGAGAGCCCCCCTTTCGGCCTCGGTACCGACGTAGAGGAAATAGCACGAGTCACGTCGCACTACGAGACAAACCCTCTGCACAGTGATTCATGCAACGACATCTTGATAGGAAAACCGTCAACATCTAACCGCTGCTGCAGTGCCTTAGCCTCTCCAGAACTTCAAGCTCGGCAAGCCTACCCCCAGACCCTTACCGTTATCCAGATGTCTGCAACGGCGTGATCGTAGGAGCGCGAGGACAACCCCAGTCATCCCGGTTTGCTGCCTTGACAGCCTCTCCAAAGAGAGAGCCGAAACCCCGTGACTCTAAAGCCTCGTGACGGCTCCCCTCCGACTGTCGCTGTCCATCATGGTTCCAACGTAAGCTACGACAAGCTCAATGTGAGGAACCCCTACTCGGAACATTGTCTAGCCAGATTAGCCTTCAGAGTCATCATAGCTGCAGCCTCAAGCAACGCGTCACCAAATGATCAAAGCCGAAGCAGACATGTCAGGAATGAGTCCATTCGACAAATCTAACTATAAAAACCCTCCATGACATTCAGCCTTATCGGGGAAAGCCGGTATGGTGAACCCCCTCCTGTTTCCATGTCTTCTTTCGGGATATCTTGAGCGTCTCGCAAAAATGAGTGTGTGGTATCTTCCCTTTCCCTCTTCTGAAACTCCTTGTAGCGAACGACGGAAAAGTTTTTGACGACCAAATGACAGAAATAAGTCTCGAGTTCGTTAGAGATATGGTAAAAGCCAAATAGTGCGTAATAAAAAAAGACGTATCGCCATCCCAATGCATGCATGTATGTGTATCGTCAGACTCCAGCGTACAACAACTTCTGTGAGAAACCCGGGACATCCTAATAGTCCCCGTTGCATGGACGCCGCCCGGTTACTTAGATTGAATGGGGCTTGGCCGGGTCAGATGGAAGGGGTCCGGTATCGGCCAGCTCTCGGTGAGGCCTCACCACGAGGCGCATGACCGGACTCTACAGTTTTCTTCCGCCCCAGCCCAATCTACAGGCAACCGCCGCCGCCTAGCACGTCTCGCTCCATAAATGCCAATCAATAGCCGTGTCAAGCGGCTTCATTCCCTCATATGCCCTCCAGCGCCAAGTGTAGGCTCATCAACCGCAGCCCTCCCAAGATTTGATATCAGTTAAGACAGGTCGGTACTCGTTACTGTATGGTTTTTGCGTCTTTATGTCGTCCCCCTCATACCAGCACGAACCAAAGAAGAGGACCAAGAGATGAAAACACTGAAACAGTAACAAAAAGTGAAAATCGAATCCAGCCGCGCCGAGCACGACGAAAAGAGGATATACATCGACGCATTCCAGCAGAACGATATGATTCCCCTTGCGAAGACGGCGATGTAGGAGCACATGACCAAGGCAGATGAGAATGCCAGACCACGTTCACTAAGCATAGCCGGCGTACTCCTCACGGTATCGGTGCGGGATGTTGCTATACTGCACATCGTCGTATCTCGCCGTCTTGACCTTGGGAAAGTACGTAGAACTCGAGTAGCTCGCTTCCCTAGATGACATGGGAGGGCGCTCGTAGTAGGCAGCAGTCTTGCTATGTTTCCTCGAGGGAGGGGGGGACTCATCGCGATACATCGGTGCGTAAGCAGCTTCGGGCGGAATTGCAACTGTGCGGCCGCCGTTGACTGTGTATCGAGTTCGCTGGCCATATTCCGCTGGTATCGGCTCAGGAGAGTGAGTCTTGTGCCGGCTACTCCTATGGTGACGACGGTCATCCTCGGATTCCGAGTCTTCACTCACAATCTGGGACTGCAGTCTTGAGCGACCGCGACCCCGATCAGCATCGGTAGCAGGCACATGGGAGTACGTCTGTGCCCTGACAATACCAGGAGGCGGGCGGCTGAATACATTATCGTTGAAGGTAGCCGCTCTGCTGAGATGCTTTGGCGGTGAGGTAGACGTAGGGGACGACGTGCTGGAAGCGAATTGAGGCATGTAACGGCTACTCGGCGAAGCATCAACGACCTTGGGCGACGGCGGGACAGACACAGGCGCCTCCTTGGTAGGAGATGACTTCTTGTGGCTCGACTTATCGCGCGGCTTGGTCTCTGACGAGCGCCTCGACTTTGACCTGCGACTTGTGTCCACCTCCTCGGTGGGGATTGGAGGTGGAGGGGGGACATAGGTTGCGGCGGCTGGCGGCGGTGTCGGCACCGCTAGCGGAGGCGCGTAGTGGACGTCGAACGTCTGCGCGCGGCTCAGACCCGGGTGAGCAGAAACACCCTTGCGGGACTGGTCCATATATGTGGCAGCGAAGAGCATGGTGTCCTGGATCTTTGCCTTGATATCAGGCGGGGGTTGCGGTACGGGCGGCACAGGCAGCTCTTCCCGGAGAGGAGCTCCGTCTCGCGGGATCGAGCGGGACCGTTTGTCCTCCTTCTTCTCCTTGGTGCTGCTAGACTTCTTCTTGTCGGACTTGGCGATATATGTCGGCTCATCGTCGAAAGGCTCAATATACGCTGCCTTATGTCTTCGCAATTTGTCTTCGGCCTCGCGTCTCCGCTCTTTCTCGCGCTCCTTTTCCGCCTTTTCCTGACGCTTGCGTTCCTGTCGTCGGGCCTCTTTTTCTTCCGCGGCCCGCTTGGCGGCCTTCTCTGCGGCCTTCTTGTCCGCTTGCCGTTCCTTCTCGCGTTCTCTTTCGCGGCGATCGGCAGCACGCGCGAGCTCCTCGCGTTCCCGATCTCTCTCTTCTCTGCGTCTGCGTTCCCGCTCGCGGTCTCGGATGTCGTCTTCTTGTCGGGACGGCTTCTCGTAACTGGCAGCCCTACGGGCGCGGGGTTCCTCGAAGATGGAATTTGATCGGCTGTGGATCTCTTCGTCCCAGGACCGGGAGTTGTACTGCGAGTACATCTTGGTTCCGGGTGACGGGCGGTATGACGTCGTCTTGGTGAAAGTGTCGGGTCTGGGCTCGGCGGTGCGCACCTCGTAGGTTCTAGGAGCGCGAGGAGCGGAAGTGTTGGCCATGCTCTTGGCCATCTCCTTGCGGAGCTCGGCCAGCTTGACGTTCTCGTCGTACTTGGCTCGCTCATCCTCGTTGCTCAGCAGCTCGTAGGCCTGTTGGACCTTTTGAAACTCGTCCTGCTTCTGGGCCTTGAGCGTCGGGTCCTGGACCTTGTCGGGGTGGCACTTGAGGACGAGCTTCCTGTGGGCGCTTCGGATTTCAGGGAGCTGTGCATCTTTGGAGACGCCTAACGTCTTGTACGGGTCGGGTGGTAACGAGGACATGGTGAGCTGGACGTGTGCTTTCGCTTTGTTGTTGTTATGGGGGCTCGCGAATCCAGTTCGACGGCGGTCAGGGGGGGATGAGCGACTGATCAAACAAAAGCTGTTGCGGTGACGGAAAGACTGTAAGGTGTCGCTCGCAGTCTGTGTCTCTGGGTGAACGACGAGGCTATTGTTGCATGGAGGCGGTGATTAGGCACTCGAGGCTGGGCAGGGTTGTGTTGTGGTTGCAGCAGGCTGACGCGAAGGTGTCTGTTGGAATTTGGGGGCGGCGGTGCCCAGTGGAAGGATGGCAATCCGTTGAGTGTGGAATGAGACCGAGGGATGGAATGTAGGAAGGGGGCAGAAGTTAAAGAAGTGCTGCAGTAGTAGTAGGCAGATGTAAGGTAGTAAGTAGTATGTAGGCTGAAGCGAAGGCGCGCGAAAGTGATGTACGGTGGGAGGCGAAGCAAATGAGGACGATGTTGAGGCAAAAAATACGATATCGGTAAGGTTGGTGAAGTAAGGGTGTTGTGAAGAGTTGTGAACGGGTGAATCGAGAGTGGGCGAGTTGAGTGAGAGAGGCGAAAAAGGCCAAAGAGGCAAGAGAGGCAGATGCAGATGGCAAAAGAGGGAGAGAGGGACAGCTGTATCCGTGGTCCGTAGGGCGGAAGGGCGGATGGGCGACGACGATCGTGGGTCGTGGCCTCCTATCTCTGGGCGTTCCGGTCGAGGTGCAGCAACGCAACCAGTTTCCCAATGTCCAAGTGGAGTTGTTTTCGTGGGTTGATGTTCGCAAGTTGCGTTGGACAGGCAGCTCAAGCGACGAGAGGGGGGATCCGAGTTGATGAGGATCCAGGAAACCGGGGGGCAGGAGGAGGACGAGTGAATGCCGTCGATTAATGATGAAGCGAGCGAGGTGACTTTTGACCTTGTCACTTCTGGGACCGCTGCAGAGGATGAGTGACTTGCGTGGTTGGTGTGCGAGAGCGTTCCCCCCCAGGTCCACGTCGTGAGTGGATTGTGTGTTGTGGAGTGTGGATTGACGGATGGGATTGATGGATGGTCGAGATCAGGTCAGTGTCGATTCCGTCCTGTCAGTCGAGAGCGACCCGGTACAAGCGTGAGGAGCCTGTGGCTTAAGTGGAGCGGAAAGAAGCGTGGACGATGGAGTTCGGGGGGGTCACAAGTACCCAAGTACCTGTGTACCCAAGTATACAAGTACCTCCGTACCCCTTCTCCCCAATGGATGGATCAAGGGTCGTGGGTTGGTCGGACCACGGACGGACGGTCGTCTTGGGTCTTGGGTGTTGCGATGGCCAGATTGGTCGGGACGTGACGATGGAATCTGGTCTAGCGAACTCTTTCTCCCTCTCTCTCTCACATGCAGGTTTGCACACTGAGTGGTATATGTACAGGGAGCACGTATTCTCTCACGTACTCCTGGTGTCTTGTGTCTTTTCTCAGGCTATACTGCGTACAGCATGAATGGTTAGTCGGAAGGCCGTGACTGTCGACAGATGGGGGGGACTGACCAAGTACTGGAGGTGCAGCAGGTGCAACTGGGAGCACAGGACCGACGATGAGGTCACGGGCTTTTCGGGGAAAGGAGGGGGGAGAGGGAGGCCTTTGGCTGTGGTCTGGTCTGGGCCTGGGCCGTCTGTGGTTGGATGGAGGGACAGGGTCTGCAGCGGAGCGACACTGGACGGGCCACTCAGATAACGGCTGATGGATACTAGCGCAAACTGAGGTGTGGGTCAGCCTCAGGTTTTTTTGGTTTCTTACTTTCTTTCCGTTTCAATCCAGCAAAACGGACCAGCAGGGAAGTAGCCTCCGTTCAGTTCCTTCTGTCGCTCTCTCGCCGGTTCACAAAGGTACCTATCTGCTTGCTAAACGCCTGGCTGTCTGGCTGTCTGTCACCAGTCGAGTCAACGAGGCACTCTCGGCGAGGTGGATGGCGGCCGATTGAGAGATCCCCAACTGCCAGTCTTTCCACTTCGAGAGGTGTGGTCAAGCGTTGGCGCTGTGAGTCCTGGGGCTGCTGTAGACAGGCAGATGTAGCCAGTCAGTCAGGGAGGCGGTATAGATAGCTGCACAGACGCAGCAGTAGGTAACAAAGCTTGCTGACGAGCAATTTCTGACGGTGCTCGGGCGGTACAAACGGGAGCGATGGGGAGGGGCTTGTAACCAGGTGAGACGGTTCTGGGCCTTGGCTGATGATGACGATGATAATACCGTTGGTTAGGAAGAGGCCCCAGAGGGATCCCGCGGCCGTCCACGCTCGTCTAGGGCTATCTTCCGAGGGGGCTGGAGGAGCTGGCTGGGGCGTGATACGCGGCGTGCCCCCCCGACGGGTAGGCTTGTCGTAGATGAGTGATCTTTTTTGTGACTTTTCTTGCTGTGAGAGCACTCCGGTGCGACGCCTCTACGTTAGTTTCCGCAGTTGGAGATTCGAACCTCAGACATCATCTGGTCTTTTTCTTATTGCGTTTCCGCAGACCGCGGATTGAGTCTGCTCGACATGACCTCCTGTTCTTAACTCCTTTTGCAAGGGCATTCGAAAACCCGTTAACCGCGAGCGCTGTCGTACCCGTCTTGTCATCGGCGTCGTCGTGCCCTCCGCGCAACCATCGCTCAAGTCCGTTCCCGCCTGTCAGGCGTCAACGGCGCTCGTCTGTGTACTTCTCTGTGCTTCCACAGCCTCGGACATAGCCTGCTTCTTTCTGTCCGACCCGCGCAGCCCGTGCCCTAAACAGGCAGAGTACAGCAGCTTGCTGTGGCTTGCTGCACCCGGCACAGGAGCAGTCGGAGGCGGGCGGATTAGACGGCGAATGACTGAACCCTGGCGGAGCTAGGTAAGATGCGCAACAACCTGACGTATGCGAGGACCCCTGAGACTCTGGCAGTGCCTGGGGGGTTTCTCGTGCTTGCGTGCCTTCACTGACGTGGAGGCCCGTCGTTGTCGGGGAGATCTCTTTTGGTCCTGGCACTCCGGCAAGCAGCAGCACATCGAGCCTGGATACCGGACAGCCTGGAAAGGTCGAGGGCCAAGACGGGGGAACGCTTCAGGCGATGAGCGACAGGGACGACACATGGGCTTCCGCCGTAAGAGGTCGATCGGTCGCGGCGGTCACGGATACGGTGAAGGGAATGGAAGGCCTGTGGGGTTGGTGGAGGGCCGTGAATCCACCCCGACAACGTACCTCGCCATGCTCGTTACGGTGTTCATGGTACCTGTACAGGCTGTGCCCGCCAAGTGCTACAGTATATCGTGCCAGGGTGAGTTCTGAGTTCCTAGGTGCCATTGAGGGAGCGAAAGAGTCATCCAACCGACGAAGACTACGAAGCTGCCGACGACGACTTCCATGCTGCGCCCCGGTTGGAGAGCAAGACCAGCCGAGCATGGGGCTAAAATGACGATGAATGAATCAACCTGAATCATTGCGGTCTTCAGGGTCTCCCGGACGCAGCCGGGGATTCCCTCGAAGAGAGTCAAGAAATTTCTTCTTGTCAGAGGGGCGAAAAAAGCGCGATTTCGCTACTGTCTTTGCCGTCGTGTGTCTCTTGTCGTTGGGTTCCTGGCAGCCGAATGCAATGCTGTGTGGTTGTACCCGCGCTAATAAAAAAAAAAAGTTGCAATCCCTAATTCAATGGGGATTGGTGAATTGGAGTCTTTGGGGCAGCGTCAACGCTTGTTCGCCTCGTCAATTGGGCAGCGGCGACACCAGCACCAGGGAAGCAGGCACTACGAGCAACTGCACAGGCTGCGGAAGGGGGAGCACTGAGGAGGATGTGGCCGAGGACAATTGGTGGCAGTTGGTGGCTTGTACGTAAAGTCGTGGATACTTTGCCTCGTGAGGGGGTGGAGGCGAGAGCCACGTACCGGCTACAAGGGTACAGGGAGGATGGGAAAGACAATCGTTTGTTTCCCCCGTTCGTCGCCTTTCCTTCTTTCTTTCCTTTTCCTCTGCAGTGGCAACAGTGCATCCCGCCGCTAGCAGAAGGTGGCACCTGGTACCGTCCGGGATCTACATTGTACTATGTAGTCGGACCAGTGCCTGCAAAACGTTCAAACGTTCATCCGTATTTTCAAGCAGCAACCTTGGTCGCCCAACGTTTCCCCTCCCGTTTCCCGAGGATAGCGCTGGGTGCCAACTCAGCTCAACCCAGCTAGAGATGCTGAGCCAGCACTGGGTAGTCGAGCAAGCGTCAACAGTCAGCACGCTAAGCCATCATCTGCCCGAGTCTAAAGCAACCTTGGTTGATGGTGTAATCCATCGTCGGCGAACCGCGGGCGGTGCTTTCTATTACAGACTACAGGTCGCTCCTTTGGTTTCTCGGCGAAGGCGACGACCAAGTCGGAGAAGCTCGGAATCAGAGGTGCGTTGAATCAGCCATTGTCTGACCCTCTCCATCTCAGTCATGCTCTTGTCACTATTATCGATCCCTTGTGGCAGCTGAGATGGCACGAGATGGCATGCCCACAGCACTACCCGGTACCGCATTTGGCAGCGTGGAAACATGATTTCAAACGCTTCCATCAGCCGTTGCTGAGGTAATGCCCAGACCAGGTAAGGTTGGAGTCCTATTCATTCCACTCGATGGCATTGCATTCACTGGAGCGCAGCCACTTGCGAGGGGACATCTGGCGGTGAACACAGAAACGAGCATCGTGTTTGAAACCCGTTTGTGGTAGAAGTGGGTCTTCCCCCTCCTTCCACCGCTCAAGGTACGCGGGTACATAGGCAGTACATCCCGTCCTTCTCCTGCTTAGGTAATGCCCGTCGGAAAATGCCCGTGCCTCCTCTCAGGCCAGTTCAACGAGCACAGCAGAGTTCAATGGCGGCAGCTGTCTGAACTGTCACCGTCTGACCAACATCGAACCGTCTCCTCGCTAGCCCAACCACCCACCAACTCCTCCCCAGTCACTGACACACCAACCCAAACCGTTTCCCCATCGGCCTTGTCATGGCATTTCGCTACCAATTCGATGCCCAATCCGTCGCTCTCCCAGAATGACACAG